CCTTGTCAGAGACTACTCAGCGAATCGCTGGATTCCGGGGATTATATTGCGACGAAGAGGAAACGTCGTCTATGAGGTAGATATTGGCGGAACAGTGTGGATTAGGCATGCTAATCAAATTCGACATTGGATACAACCCGGTACGATAGAAGAAAGAAAAACGAATCTACCGTTAGACATCCTCCTTGAAACGTTCGAGCTGCAACCGAAAAATGAGTCAACAGAATCGAACATTGGCGTCAACACATCTCCGTCGCAAAGAAGAAGTGGACGACGGAGAATTCCAGTAAAACGGTTGCAGATAAATCCCAGGTTGAGAACGTACGTTCTATCTCCAAAAGGGGAAAATGTCAGGGCGCGCCCAGGCAGAAGAAAAAGCACATGTGCCCAGAGTGACGCATCCCCAAGGTCACCATGGGTTCGACACGTCGGGAAAGTAGGTGAGACGGCGGCTCCCACCAAAACACGGCCTAGCAACACACGACCAGCGTAGTGGGCCTGAGATTGTTCACGACCGGAACACCACCATTGGCTATATGGAGCGAACAAGTGAACGACCATATTTAGCCGTTTAGTCATCCTATATATTTACGCAGAGGCTCTGTACGTTTTGTCCTGGCAATACAGCCGTGTCCCCAGTTCTCTGTCTTCTCCCTATCGCGTAGTCTGGCAGATGCAGTGCAGGCGTAACCCCATAGCTCGGCCACCGCACAATACAACAAGAAGATTTCATATTAACTAGCCATGTAAGTCTTTCTGGCACCCCTGGATAGAATGGTAACAAGAGTTGGTGCTGAGCTTCTATCTGGTACCGTCCTGCGAAATTACGAATCCGTTTCGGTGCTTATCCGTAATCCGGTGCACAGAAATTATGCTATCCAATGAAATTGGAGGTAATGTGAGGAACACCAGTGCTCTCATATTTTTGTTGCAGCGATTAAGTATTCTCAAGAGGCCTGATCTCATTTCCCTCTTTCTCCCCTGCGAATACTGAGGAATAGTGGAATATTGGGTGGACGTCTGCATTTGTTCAGTGAACCGTGGACCTTCTTTCCCGACGCGTATGCTACAGTTCACAAAACAGACATCTATGTATAGACCTGATTCTTTATTTCGCCCGAGAAGATGTAGTTAGTTTGAGAAATTCACTCATTTGCAACTCAATTTGGTCTTAACGAGAGACTCAACTGAACCTCTCGTTTATGATATTCTTCAACTGAATGTGCTGCGCACGGGGCGCCCCATGTTTCAGCTGGCAGTTGACGGAAATTCGGAGACTGCGCCCACCTGACGAGCCTCAAGAAGGGCGAAACGGATCGTGGGCTGTCAAAGAATTTTCAGCAACCTTGTGAGTAGTTTCTTTTATGAATAAGTAGTTATTTTGTTAAGTATGACTTGAACTCCGCTCAGCCAATCGATAACTGTCTTCTCACACAACACACAAAAATTGCGGAATGATACAAATATTGTCTGGTTCTCCGCGTTTGAACTAGGGTCTAGTCCGCCTTCTAATTTAAGAAAACAGAAAATGCAATATGAACCCTGTCCGAATCATACCTTGCTATTTTGGGGTTCGAAGACGCATTAAGCACGTCACGATATTGATCGCGATATTGATCGTGACCTTCGCGATATTGATCGTGACCTTTGCTACTGGTCGAATTAATCTAATAAAACTTCCTATGAAAGTAGTCTGTTGTGCGAGTTCGTTTGCTCTTATGAGAATGCTCTAGAAGAGGCCACTCTTTGATTCATGCCGAGAACAAATCAGTACCTCTATTGGACGTAACAAAGGAAATATCTATTCCTAATCCAGATCTTCTTTGTCCATCTTGACCCCCATCTAGATCATTAGATCACTTACTGACTGGTTTTTGAACCTTCACCATGGAAGTTGGTTCACTGGGTTCGCCGGGCCCGGCAGCATTCACGGGGACAACACGAAATTCAAATTCTTTGCCCTTCGGTAAGTTCTTCACAGTGTAGTTTGTTCCAGATATCGGCGCCATGTTAGCCCTATTTGAACAGAAGTGAGAAAATGATAGTACCAATCGCAGAAATAATGCATCTCATTAAGTGAAAGCAATCTAAACGAGTTTCAAATTCAAATTGAGTGGTTTCGTCATCTGATATGAATTTGCACTAGGAGATGGTGGGTTTGAGAATTTTGAGTCATCCAAGGCCCTAATCTAGGAAATATCCATAAACTAGAACCATCCAAACCCAAACACATGTGGAGACTGAAAACTGAAAACGATATAAACTCAGAACACCGGCCGACATCAATTGACTTAGTGGAAACTTTTAGCCTCTCTGGATAAAACAACGCATTTTTACCAAGACAGCGTTTGCGAGCGTTTGCTGAGAAGTTCAAACGATCACAGGACAGAGTGAGCTTAGTGAATCCAGAGAAGTTCAACTGGATGATTGTCACAAACATATGATACAGATCAACGAAGAATGCTAAGTCTTGCTTGCAAGTTGAGTGTCTTATGGGGTTAGGTTTTGGATTGCCGCGTCTTAGAAACGTTGGAGAATGGACACGCTGAGAACAATAAGTCCGAGCACAGGTTATTCATATTGAACACGTGGGCAATGCGTGATCCGTCTACACTCACTTGGACCAGGATTTCTCACCCTTGGCTCGTTTCTCCACCACATATCCAGTGACAGGACCCTTTCGTGGAGGATCCCAGGCCAAGGTTACGGAGTCATCACTAGTATCCTCGACGGTTGGTTTTGACATGCCTGAGGGTGGATCTGAAAAAAAGCAATCAACGTGTGAACATTCAATTCTCCAGGTTCACTCGTCGCAAACCTTTTCCAGTTCTGCCGTTGACTTACCAAACGGATGCTTGGCTTTGATTGCGCGTTCCGTCGTAAGAGGTTCACTCACACCCATAGCATTTTCAGCCATGACCCGAAATTCGTACTCCGTGCCCTCTTCCAGGTTGCGGACCGTAGCCGTTGGTGCATGAAGGAAACCGCTGACTTTCTCCCAGCTGAAAGTATGAGCAACACACACGGGCTTCCTTCAGTTTTCAACACAAGTAAACTTTGATTGTCCGCGCAGTATAAACATTTCATGTATGGTTCAATAACGGCTTTTGAGGGAAGGAACGGATACCAACTGATTGAGTAGTCACGTATTCCTGCTAAGTTCTGTTCGTTGTATGTTTCATTAGCGAGTCACCTTGTACCTCTCTTTGAAAGAGGAAAGGAGTAAAATTCTGCCCTCACGAAATGAATGAGGAATTCTCTATCTATCTACCTATCTCAAACCGATCCCAGACCCACTCACTGAGGTTCGCTTGCCGCTCTAAACAACGGACATCACGGTGCACGTTCTATCAATGCCCGCACTTACAAACTTGTCTACAGTTCTCATAGTGGCTATGAGAATATTTTTGGACGGCGAAAACGGTCCCACTCCATTGGGAGACACAAGCCTCAACGTGTACACACCTCTCCCACTACTACGTGATGTCTGTCACAACGAAGGATGGCGATGATAAAGGCCTGGTAATCACACTTGTGAGAGATCGCTATGGCAACAGCTACCTTGAGTCACGAAGTAGCCCAGCTGAATCTTGTATGGCTGGGTCCATTTGACAAAACTGGATTTGTCCAAGTTGGCTGTTATGTTCCAGCGGCTGCTCCGCCCCCATTAATCAAGAGCCAGTGGTTTTATTGGGGTGCACTTTTCCTATCCTTGTTGACAGAAAAACCATCAATGTGAAGCCACACAAATTGGCGCACATTGAAAACTTTCATTCAATTCCATTCTGTACCCACTGGTGCACTCTCGTGTGGCAGTATCTTACCGAGCGAGTCAAGTGGTCAATGGATGAGTCACCCCAAAATTATTGAATGGGGAACAAGTTTAAAATCCATTTCTAAAACTGTCTGCGGCAGGTTAGAATAGCAACATGCAACTGGATTTGTCTTCAGAAGACTAAGTTGAATTAAAGATGGAAAAAGTGAGAACAGTCAAGCTAAAAATCGATTATGGATTAACATACACAGTGGAATTCTTGGGTTTCTTTTCCAAAATGTAGTTGGTGATTGGCTCCCCACCATCGTCTTCCGGAGCTTTCCAACTTAACGTAATCTCATCGGCCTTGACATCGGTTGCCTCGAGGGGACCGGTTGGTGCTCCTGGGACATCTGGAATGTGCAGAACGTGTGCAAAAATGGAGGTCTGGCATTGAGTAGGCTTGTTCAAATTATATAGCTTTCCGGTGACTGGCTTCCACCGTTCATATTCCAATTAAATTAGGCCCTACGCAATTTGCTTGCTTAAGACATCGACTGACGGGCTTTTCATGCAGCTAGGATGAATACACCCAACGTATTACGTAAAGTACTAGCTAAAGTGTTAAGGGGACCGGGGATACGACGTTCTCCAAATTATGACACAGGGTGAAGACTCCTTGGGGCGGACTAAGCTTTAGTGCGGTTTGCGCTTATGTGTTGAAAATGTACATCCAGAAGATCGCCTAGCACACTGCTCGCATATCGAAATATGGGCCACGAAACGCCATTAAGGAAATATTGCTCGTTCTTTAATTCCTCAGGAACCCTTATACTTGGAACAGTCAAATTTGTTATGCTGACGTCTGAACCCGTCTCAATATGGAGCAAATTTTCGTGATCGAAATTGATTGCAGTTAGATCAGTTTATCACGCATAATTTGCCTGAGAGGCGTCAACTGCTTTAAAAAACAGCCCAGGAATCACCACCACCATCAACATGGACAGCATGACATCAGCGTTCAACAGTAATACTTTACTGCCATACAACCATAATTTATTTGAAAGGCTTATTGTGATGAAAAGAATAAACACGGAGGAGGCCTTATTTCAATCATTCCGGGGTGCCTAAACCTCCAGACACTCATTCAATCTGAATAGAAACTGACAACACGAACGCCATTGATATTGATTACCAGCCACATCTTTCAGCTCAACCAGGCGCAGTGGGGATCTCGCGATCTTCATTCAAGTAGGCGAGTAGCACCGACAGCACCCAAACATTTAGTAATCTATTTCATGCCCCTCTGCCAGGTCAAGGGTTAGCTCCCTCTCTGCTCGCACCACTCTGAATCGAGCACGGAAAACAACACTCTCATCGGCAAACGATTGTTTGGTATAGGCAATGCATGGCATAACCAACAATTCTTCTGGTGCTGGGCACATTTTTCAATGGAAGTATCCACTGTATAGCCGAAAATCCATTTTTCAATTGCCTTTTTGTGGGGTGCTGGGCCATTTTTCAATGGAAGTATCCACTGTATAGCCGAAAATCCATTTTTCAATTGCCTTTTTGTGGATTCTCCGACACTAACCTACACGAGCTATGGTCCTCAGACAACGATTGTCGAACACGTGAAGACGCTTGAGGCCTCACAGCCATACAGCAAAAAAAGCCTGCACTGCAGCCTGATACACACGTCCCTTGAGATTCAGGAGTATACCGCTCTGACGCCCTAGGTGTCTCAAATTAGCAAACACGAACCGGCCCTTGGAGATTCGTGCATTGACATCAGCCATCACACTACAGTCGGAACCAATACAATTTCCAAGGTACGTAATATGCTCCACACTTCGAGTGCCTCCCCCTGGATTGTAAGTGGCGTTTTCAGTAACTGTATGTACACGAGCATGATCTTACACATTGTGGCTGCAAAGTGCATGCCAAATGACGGAATGACTTTGCTCAGTTCATCCAAAACACTGGACACGGGATACAAAATAGTCTTTGAGTTGAGGACTACGGTCCATGTCACAGAGACTGATGACCGAGGCGGTAGAAACCGCCAAGCTTCCCAGTTTTAACAGAATAGAAGGAGTGGAACTGGCAAGCGTGTAGAGAACGGTTTTGGATCAGTGGAACTGACACGTGTTGGCGTGACGTCATCAGATGGAGGGGTGGTCATCATCTGAACTCCACTTAATCCCACCCCACCCCACCCCCAACTAAATTGTTGCAGCACTCACAACCCCACAAAGACCAACGAGATCTATCAGCGGCAACCGCGGTTAATCATCAATTGAAGCACCCTGAGGAAACAAGAGCCGATCGGAACTAATTTGAAACTCTTCCAACCTATCAATTCAAGATTTTGGCGAACACTAGCCGATAAGAGCCGTTAATTGACACTCAACAGTGATCCAGTGTGATAATCTGAAGAGAACTTACTGATTGGTTCCCCATCTGCCTTATAACCTGGCTAATTTGGTGACCTGTTCACTTGACCTGATGAAGCTTTTGTGTCAAAATCGAAACTTGCCCAAGTAATAAAAACTGCCGATTGTTTAGCAAGCCCTTCTGAAACGTGACTTCTCAAACGGTTCCAAAACTCTTCAAATTGTTTGAAAGCTGTGGATACCGTTTGTCGATGATGTGTTCTCGGTAAATTTGGAGTAATATAGTACTGATTCCCTAAATACTAATATCTGACCTTGTACAAGCATAGATGGCGATAGTATCATGTCTGAATTTTTCCCGAATGTCTGCGGTGGAAGGACCTAGTGGTCAAGGACAAACGGTTACTGTCGACCTTGAGGCCGATTGATGACGTGCGAATGAATACCATAAAACACGTGGATTGAATGCCAAAGTGAATTTTCTCCAGCTATCCGTAGTAACAACTGTCGTATTTTTTTTGACCTTCCACTGTGAATATTTTCGAGTGCACTTCGTGCCTGTCTGACCCGTTATTTACGATACGTTTATTTGACTGTGTCTAGCTCCGAAGTCGAAAATGTGTTGTATGTTGTCTTGGATGTACACAAGAGTATTAGAGTCACTGAGAGACTCAGGAGAAATACTGACTTTCGATAGCATTTTGTGTACTATAAATTTATGGTCTGTGTACCGATATGCCTGGTGCTGTGCTGGCTACTACTAGATAAGTGTGAAGGAACTAGTGAATGGCAGGGCTTTTGTGGTCAGCTTTGAAAGGAGTGATTTATGGCTCGAGCAAACTGGTCAGTCGGTCTCTTGGTAAAAAGACACGCGTTTCTATTGTCTCAGTCACAACTGCGTATGTGTGTCTTGAAGACTGGAAATCACCTATTGCCCGTTTCAATGGGCCGTCCGCTTTGTGCACTAACACAGTATAAGCCTCAGCTGATTTTGAATGTCCACCGAATAATATTTGACATGCTGAGGTTCAGTGGTTTTTAACCAGGGAAGAATTGCCTCCCCCCACAGGTTTCGGTCAGCAAAACTTGAGATACACTGATAGGGGATGGACAGTGTGAAGGTTGAGAACCACTACTATAGATGCATGTGACAGACACGGGATTCCAGTGAATTACCTAGCCTACGCTGGTGCGTCAGGCAATCTCGTGACAACGCACTTCACTGTAATGTTAGACCACAGTCTGCGCGCAGGTAGTTGGGGTTAGAAAAGTGGCAATTTGTATGCAGCCCGATCAACAGCACTGCTGTCACACTGAACACCCAAGTAGATTGGTAATCGGAAAATGGTGAAATGCTGAGTTGATGTTTCCATTAGCTCCGACAGCCTAGCCCGTCCATTTTGATTTTTTACGTGTATTTTTATTAATAAGGCTAGATGATTACTTCCGTCTGAACACTTTCTTTCCCGGATGAAAATATGGAAGGAAACACTACTTTGAATCAGTTTTGCTATAGCACTTGAATGAAGTAAGGAATCTTGAGCGTAGTTGGTGAGTACCAACCAAGGTTTGTATGGACGAATCAGACTATTGTTGACTGGCGCGTGACTGGCGAGTGAAATCTGACTGCATGGGTCCAAAGAAACTTATAGTTGTTAGGCGGCGCAGCCTTGCGCGGACCAACGACTGTATCAGGCGTTGTGTGCATGATCTGACAGACATCATTCCTTTGATTGACTGACAACGCTAGGTGCACAGCACTACGAGCATTCTCTCTGATCTAGCAGGCTGATCCAGGCAGGAACAGGGGCGGCTATAATATGTGCATTAGAAGTTGTAGCACCAACTTTCCACCGATTGAAAGGAACTTCACAGCTACGCCGTTCTTGTGCTAATATTTTCTTCTCCACATTTGACCTGACTTCACAGGATTGCAAACTCGGCTAAGCCTCCGAGTGCGCTCAATATGTAACGGCTTTCCAGTAAAGCGTGAACTGAGTAAACAGGACATTCGCACAGGTGAGCTAGACGACGCCTAAGTGATACCGGTCCAAAACTGAAAAGTGGGTCTCACAGGGAAAAGAAGACAATTTCATGAACAAACATGGAGGATAGCCACGGTATGCAGTAAGATGGACGGTAAGTAAATCGAACTTTTAGTGCGGAATGTAAGTTCCGATATGTAGTGAGGTCGAATAACTGGTAGTGATCCTCAACCAGTGGCATAGTTGCATGAACAGCTATGTTCATTCACCAGGTGTATAACTTGTAGTTGGACGTCGGAAGCAAATGCACTACAATACTGGGACAGTCGCTTAAGTACAGCCCAATACTATGGTTCATATACCTGAACTCGAAACGTGATCACTAGTATGTGATCGGTGTATCGGATGAATTTCCAATCTGTTTATTACACAAACTCACCGATTACGTCCACTTTACACGAGGTTGTCGCCTGACCTTGATCATTCATTAGAGTCAGTTTGTATTGACCCGCGTCGGCACGGCGTGCTTTGGGTATTGTGAGTACGGCAACAGCTCCAGGAGACAACTCTAATGGTCCACCTGGTCCAGGATGAGCTGGTGGGGGCAAAGATTCACTGGATTCAATCACTTTCTTTCCATCAGGTCTGATTGGTTTGTCATCCAACGTCCACGACAATGTTGGAGCCGGATGACCAAACCAGGCTGCTGCAAGACGGAGTTCCTGTCCTGCCTTTTGGTGAGAAAGAAGAGTTTTTGGTCATCTCTGCTAGTCAGTGACAAGATTTTTTGGTATATATTTGGCCAATTCAAACAAACCTTAGTCAAGAAAAGCGAAAATAAGATTTCGTTGGCGTCTGTTTGGCAGATGCAGGTACAAAATATGGAACGGATCAACAGCGTAATTGTCTTGGTTCTTCCTCCGGTCAAAGATCGAAAAATATACATATTCATATCGTAGATATATAAATATATATGACCTACGTCTGAATTTATATATATATATATAATATAATAATAGATATGATTTGACAAGAACTGAATGTAAGAAAGTAGGGATTATTACCACGGACAATCGAACTTCATATTACATGGTGACACAGGTGATTCAAACCTACTTTAAGTTTGATGTCTTTGAGGCCACCAACACCTGTTCCTGGTCCACCGACACAGTCCTCCGGAGTAACAATCCTCGGGGCTTCTGGCTGATTCACCGCAGTCAATGGTGCTGTTGGTTTTGTTGGTTCACCCGGCCCTTCATCGTTAATGGCTCGAACGCGGAACTGACTCGTCTCACCTTCCTTCATCGGAATGAACGCACATGGCTCGGTGGTTTGTTTCACTGGAACCCAATTTCCAGCATCGTCCTTCTTTTCCACCTGGTAGCCGGTGATTTTGCTGCCACCATCTTTCCGTGGTTTCTGCCAGGAGAGCTTCACACCGTTTTTGTTCACCTTGTCCACATTCAAGTTCTCCGGAGAGCTCGGAGGGACTGAAATTCATTAAGGTGTTCGAACGATCAGGGACTGTATAATCTGGAACAAATATAGCAACAGTGCGAGTGAATTTCGGTGTACACTTACATGTAGGATCTTTGATTACTTGAGGTGCGGTCGCCTTTGACGGTCGTCCGGGGCCAGCATCGTTCACTGCACTAACACGAAACTCGTATGTCTGGCCGGCTTCCAAATCAGACACCCGAGCTTCAGGGCCATGGACTAGGCCAGCCGTCGCCGGCTTCCACTCGCCATTGGGCGTTCGCTTTTCAATCAAGTATCCTAAATGGTAATGACAGTAAAAGTACTGTTCGTTACTATCCCGGTGGTGCAGTCAAAAAGGTGGGTAACGAGGCGCAACCATAATGCAAGAAGATAGGCATTTCGGAAAAGCTCACCCGTTATTCATGTGTCGTTGAACAAAGCAACCTTCATGTTAGTTTAAAACTGGCTTTGACCGAAACTCGTTTGGGTACTTCGGGACAGCTTAGGTCATATGGTGTGTACTTAGTGAGAAATGAAAATCAACCACGCCCAACTGTTTTGATTCTGGTTCCTCGACTATTCTTGCAGTTTGATTCGAAAGCCTGCGAAAAAGCCACCAGCGAAAGGAGACAACCCTCCGCTGCCAAGTCGTCTATTAGCATACACCCACTATACAGTTATAGGCTATTAAACAGGAAAGTAAAATTCTCCTATGCACACAGTTTTTAAGAACTGAACATTTTAACGCAAATCGGTTCCGCGATATCTGTGATAAACTTCACCTTCCAACAGACATTGGGCGGAGCTTCGACATGACCGCAGGCTACTCACATGACTGGGCAGTAGTGTATGCCATTATATCCATACTAATCGAAACGGTGAGGTTAAATCCTCTCTAAGATGTCTTAGGCGTATTCGGACCCAGTGATTCGCTAACTTTTTGTCGTAGGTTGTGTTTTCTTCTTGGGGAGCTTCATACGCAGTGTTATGTTACACATAACTGTGTACGAAAATTGGAGCACACTGGAACAGACAGCGCCGTTTGGTTGTTCTTTTGCACGCCAACCACACGTAGTCTTCACAATTTGGTTATGAGTAACAACTAGTAACTTGGGAATTGGTAACAAGAACACAGTGACGAATAATAAAGTCTTCGGGATCTTGTCGTCCGGTCAGTACATATCTAGTGGTTAGGATATGGATAAATAATGAAATAAACAGTTAAGATCGGCTATTAAATTAGAAAACACGGAGATTAGGATGATTAGTCCTCAACAAAAACGAAGTAGCGTGTACCTGGATAGTGTGACGTGGTCTACAAGGCAGCTGAGAGGCTGTTTCAATTGATTCGTGTTACACGACCAAGGCAGACTCAGAGCTCATACGAATCGCTTTTGAAAGCATAGTACCGGATTGCGACTGCTTCTGCTGTATTCAAGCAACGTCGTTGGATCAGTGTTAGCAGTTTCTCAGGTACCTGGTGCATAACGTGAAACAACTCATTCGGATCAATCTCGAGACCGGTGTCAGTTAGGCGTGACGCGGTCGAGCTGGGTTCCAATTGATTCTACACGACCAAGGCAGACTCAGAGCTCATACGAATCGCTTTTGAAAGCATAGTACCGGATTGCGACTGCTTCTGCTGTATTCAAGCAACGTCGTTGGATCAGTGTTAGCAGTTTCTCAGGTACCTGGTGCATAACGTGAAACAACTCATTCGGATCAATCTCGAGACCGGTGTCAGTTAGGCGTGACGCGGTCGAGCTGGGTTTAATGAAATTGCAGCAACAGAGATTCTCATGTATTCTCTTAGTCCATTGCCCTGTCATGCGCCCAACATCTTCCACTGCAGACGGCATGAGAAGTAATACAATATTCTGAATGAAGACTATTAGTTAGGTGGTTGGCTTGTTTCAGCACATTTCTCTGTGGGTGGCTACTTCACCAGTATCTGCCTCTCCATGTTGAACTGTCAGAATTCAAATTTACGAATCGTCTGACACACAGCGGTCCTTCGGATCCCAACATTTTGTGGAAAAGAGGAAGAGCATCGGTTTTTTCAGTTAACCTATCAGTCGAATGAATTGATGATTCGCAGATGAAACTATTACAATCTCAGAACCGCGCCCAAGTCTTTCTGAATGCACAAGACTAACCTCAGTCCATCACTCTGTGCTATCGTTTACCTCCAGCAATGAGTGAAGTGATGGGTGATCTGGAAGTAGCCGAATAATTTGTGATGGACGAGCAAAACTTTTATCAGGTGAAACCCAAGTTAGAGCATACGTACGGGGAGACATTGCACAAGTTTGTTTTCGCAGGTGTTTTGTGGTAGATGAATCAGCCGATTGGCACCTACCTGTCTCTCGGTACACGTTACAAATTGTGGCTTTGCCATGGTGTTTACCATTCGTGTCGATGGTGGGGAATAAATTTCAACGAAGTCGTCCAACCATATTGGATGGGAAAACATTAATCGTCACACTAAGACTAACGTAAGGAAGACTCCTTGTTGACTTTAGCAATCCTAAGAACATGCGCTGGTTAGATACGTGAGCAAGCTGCTATTCTAATTTGTGTGCGTCGATGTCCTCGCGCTCGTCGGTCGGCCAATCATTCATTCATGAATCGATCGGTTCACACTTACGCAACAAACCATACTTGTTGGAACATGTGGTGACATTCGGCTGATATAATCTCGGGAATCCGGTCGACTCAGCAGGACTGATTATATAGGGTAGTCAAAAAACTCCAACCAGCGGGCCCATAAATAATAGAGAAGTATTGAGGCAGTTAAAAGGTAATCATTAGGTGGACATATACAAGCACACACCTTGTATGGGATTACCACCATCATTCTCTGGTGGCTTCCATGACAGCTTGACGCCATGTTTGTCAAATTCGTCGATTTTGACATTTTCAGGGGCATCCGGAGCATCTGATAGGAAACAGGAACGGCAAAAAGAAATCAATCCGACGGCACGAAAGATATGCAAATCAATTTCTAGTTCGTTATCACTTAGTGATGTAGCAGGCACACAATAAGCGACAATGAGTGACTGAAATTAACAGAGTGATCTTTGCCCGACACCCGGTAGGCTGCAGCTCATGTGACTCAAGTGAAAAACACCGGCCTAGCGTTCCTTAAGGTGCGCCACATTCCAGTTCACCACGTATAAAGAAGGATACGCTTCTGTGAAGCAACTGTCAGTTTTCATGGCTGAAGAGGTTGAAGTAAAAAAAAAACACTCGTAGCCAGCCGATAGGTCGGTGGCACTAATTGTACTTAACAATTAGAAAGCAGATGTGTACAGTCCTGAAAAAGTCCAATCAATATATTTCGTTCTGATTGGTACTCACCGGGTGAACGTTCCAAGGGCATTATCAGACGATTCATGTGTTACAAAGAATTATTGGACATCACTTAGGACACAAGTCAATCACTGCGAGTAATCCAACTTATTCCTCCGTATTGTATGAAGGATTGGGATAAGACACTCTGATCAGCTCCTCGGTGGGTCTCTGTTGACCGTTAGTCAAGCATGGTTTCCAGGCCATTACTTTTGAAAAACCTTTCTATCTGTCCCAAGACATTGTAGAATTATATGGTTGGAAATTCTTTCATTCCTCAAATGGTCTGTGGGAATTTTAAGCGAAATTAGGTGGCTTCCTGCAATACATTGTACGAAGACCATGTATATTCACACCTAGTAAAAATCAATAGTTAGTCGCAACAAATACGAAGGAACATAAAAAATACATACAGTATATAAAGAGCATTCAAAGCACTAAATGACGAATGAAATTTCCCATAGGCATCCTACTAGATATAAACTTACTTCTTACGGATCTACCGACCAGCGGAACTCATATAATGCTTCATTGTAGGAACTGCCTCAAACATTGACCTGTTTTAACAGAGCAATATTCCTAAGTTTTCCTACCTGACACCTCTAGAAATCAGTTAGAATGCAGAACTATTCAGGAGTGCTGTCCACACGGTTTGCACAGTTCAGTTGAATCCCATAATTACTTGCTGTTAATGTCTGCTTAACCATGATACAAAATCTGGTGGATAGAGTATAGGACAGCACTCTCAATCGCCTATGAAAATCCAAAACCTACTTGAGATAGAATGGCGTAAACGCAATTTTATCTCTCACTTCTTTAGGTATACGTTACAATGCTGATTTGGCAAACACGTCGAGCCCTGAGTGAAACATCTGCTGCTTCCGTAATGAGGCGATGCTCTTTGGGCGCGCGCCTACAACCACTGTGCCGTGAACATTCCGCCTGAGCGGAAGCGCTTAGAACCATCATCTGTGACGAAACCATCAATCACATGTTTACTGGGGAACAGATCTGTAGGAGTCACCTTCAACACGAGTAGTTCACAAGTGATACCCGTTGATAATGCAATTTTGATTAAAAGTCCGTATTAATAGTGACCATCTGGGAAAACAAACATTCAACTGAAGTATGAATGCTGAAAACGGACCGACACCTACATAATGTAAAGAAAAAGACCAAGCTTTTGAAGCAAAACGGTGACCTCTAGCATATCGGGCGAGCGCTCTATCACCTTAGTCACCTTGAACGTTGTCTCACATGACAAATATTCAACTGAGTTCACTTCGATTCGCTACAGTCCTGCCTTATGGATCAACAGTTGATATCAGTGGCATTAGGGAGTATTCGTTTGACTTCCATAACGGGCCAGAGATCACTCCAGTTTGGGTACTCACAATACATCGGTTTCAGTTTGATATAGAAGGAATGAGTGTTTGAGAAATCTTGAATGTGGTCCAAAGCACACACAACGCAAACGAAAATACAGAAAAGGCTCGATCTTTCAATCTTCGCCCATCCAACACGACTCAGAGAATAATAGGGTGTGTAGATTTTGCCGATCAAAACCCATCGGTCCTGAGAGCAGTATAGTTTGTACTGTACTGTAATAAACAGATACAACGATGAAAAAGCGTAATTGGAAGAGGTAATGTTAATCGTAAGTTTCGTCCCTGCTCAATGAAAAGCATGACGATGACGCTGAGAGTAGGGAGGTTGAAACGCGGGGAGCTAGGAGATCCATTAATCATGTGTTACCTTCAATGCCCAGTAATCTGCATACCAAAGCATGATCGTTACAGCTTCAATCGCATTATCATACAGCTTTAAAATGGGCCTAAAACGATTGGGACTCAGTCAAGAAATTAACTCGTCTATTTCCAACCGATAACTGCCCTTGACCGCTAGGACAACATGGAGAGAGAGAGAGAGGGAGGTAATCACAGACCGACTGCACTCCCAACTGTGGTAGGTCAAACAACGCCCGAAACACGTTAAGTAAGATGACTGACACACCTGGTCGATACACCGGCCCGTAGACGCTCGTCAATTGCAGGTCAACCTGTGTGGTTCTCAGACAAGTAATAACAAACCCCAGGATATTATTGAATATATTCGTTCGTAACTTTACAAGTCGCGATTTTCCGTGGGAGACAGTTGACAAGCATGACCAAATCCCTAGCTGAAGGTCACCGTTTTCACCTGATTGTTGTAATCGTTCAAACTTCCGAACGGACATTGTGAAGAACCCAGTTGCACGAATACGAAATTCGTTGTCTGTAATCACCTAATGCTCTCTGCGGCATCCATTTAGCCATAGTCCCTTAGGTCATAATTGCAAAACCGAGCGCACGTCCTACAATTCATAATTCTGAATAAACTTAAGGTTTAGTCTGAGGCTGTTTCGATCCATACAGCACTTAATTGTGCTGTCTGTTTGTTGTCGGACGGTCTTAATTATCCACTCGTTCGCTAATCCTTTGTCATTTGGTCATCACTGTTTGTCGTCTTAGTGTTCCTGAAAAGATAATCAGAGGAACTGATGTGTGATTCTATGGACCGCGAAATTCGTTACACAGCTATATCGTACCCAAGACTACTGAGTGGTTCAGAATCAGGAACTGTTAACAGCACTTCGAACAATGACCGATGAAACAGCCGTTTTCATGATAAGTGACTCTTCCTTACGGCATCAAACAAAGCTGGATCATAAGTTTTGTTCACCTGATTGCCAATAGTGTTAAACATGGAGAATTTTTCCGTTTGTTAAGATATTTTCACTATGAACACGATACCGGTGTGCATCTGTCAGGACGCGCCCAGACATGGGAAAAGTAATGTGTAGAGAGTAACGCAACCCCAAGGTCACCATCCGTACGACACGTCCAGAAAGCAGGTGCGTTGGCGGAGCCCACCAAACACGGCTCAGCAAAATAAGACCTGTAGAGTGGGGCTGAAATTGTTCACGACCGGAACACCACCATTGGCTGTACAGAACGAACAAGTGAACGACCATATTTGGCCATTTAGCCATCCTATATATTTGCACAGAAGCTCTGTATGTTTTGTCCTGACAATACAGCCGTACCCCCTGTCCTCTGTCTCCTTATCGCGTAGTCTGGCGGGCTCACTGCAGGCCTAACAACTAGACGGCCACCCAGGATACAACAACATCCACTCATGATAGCGCAAAATTGTGTGAGCCATTCCTGTCAGTCCGTCCTTGGGCTGGATCGAATGAAGTAGCCTTGTTCGCTGGCTGATCAGTCACTTTTACTGGGTGTGAATCTGTTAAAACTTTAGAAGTAGACTGGGAGTATAGATCTGTGTCACCTGACTGCCTACCCCGAAAAGGACTGTCACCTGACAAAATCCTCTGGCTCAGCAGAGTGAGACACGTGGGATATCAAAGTCGATAAAAAACCAATTCTGGTTGGATCCAGTTCTTCCGTATATGAAGCGAACTCGATCACCCAATGGTGGCTTTTTAAAAAAGTATTGGTTCTGAATCCTCCAAAAAGAGGATTTGCTTTGTTAACGGAATGCAGATGTGAAATATGACCACCAGAATCGAATAACAGTGGAAGGTCTGAGAGCGAGAGAGAGACAACATAAAACGTGTTAGGACGTGTAAACTTGGGAAAGAGATGTTCAATTCCTTATCATGATGCCTCTCCCACAGTCTAAACGTGTTTTTAGATACCAAGGACGAATTTGGAACCGTTCTTCGCAGGTATTCAGGGCAGTCAGATTCGGATTTCCGTCACTCAAGCGAATTCAAAGACAAATTTACTGCACCTTAGACTACCTCCTCTGCTGATGGTACGCGAACACACATGCATTGGACCCTGTCAGGGTCGCTAAGCTGCCGAATCAGGTTCCAAGGCCCCGTAGCGCTATCTGACTTGGAAGTTCTGGGAGGCGAATCAAGCGACCGACACAGTCAAGACGGTAACTGGGTTGTCATCAGCTATTGGGAGCTGAAATCCCGGCAAGGCCAAAGCTATGCACGGCCGATGAGCTCTAATTGGAGTGAATCTAGAATCCACTGCTTCCTCCTTTGGTATGGATTCAACGGAATAATTTCACTGGGGAAGGTGAGCATCTACAGTCGCGCAGTCACCCAAATCATATCACGGTGGGCTGGGAGCAAGAAGATTGGACGATCGTCTCGCCGTGTTGCAAGCCCATTATCGATGGTTTACCGAGTTTAGCAACAGCACCAGGCCAGCGAACCGCCCCATCGTTCGATCAATACGCTCGCCTCTGAAAGCCGAAGGCAGGGCAGGACTGGTCGTGCAAGCCTCGAGCCGTTGTGGTTAGACCCTATTTTGCTCAGACGCATGAAACACGAAAGCACTCAACTTCAGGAGAAAAACGTACAAAGGTTCAACCGAAGTGGTCCCAGAGAAGTTCTAGTTATGGAAGTTCTAGTATTGAACGCCAAATTGTTTGTAAGCGGAGTTCTGTGCTTATCTGCGACTTAACTTATTGGTAACGGAATACCTATGAGTCATGGGAAGGAAGAGACCTGCCGATAGGTTTTGAACGGCCTGATAAGTAGTTTTGTCAACAAAAGAATTAATAGCCTGGAGGTTGAGGTTTAGAATCTTCCTGAAGATTCGCGAGATGCATACTACTGATGATTCCCAGTAAGAATGAAACAGTCATACAGTTGTTCTCAACTTTCCGACAGAAACTGACTTCACCTACAGGAGGAAATCTAAATTGGAAGCTTCCATAGTCTGTTCATGTTACCAGCGAATATTACTATACTGACAGGATACTTTAGGTTCAATTTCTTGGTCCCTGAGAGACACTACATGAGGGCTGCATTTAAGTTAGCTACTGATCACGGGCAGTCTATTTTTCAAAGCCAATTGATTTATGGTTAGTCATATTTTTCTCCATGTGGATGATCAAATACAGAACACATGGCATGGAGATACATCAACACTGGCTAATGCTTCAGAAACGAACGTAATCTAATCCAATAATCTAATCCAAAACGGCTTGCATTTATCAGCTCCACAGAAACGACCGCGTCCTGGTGAACAAGCAGTTCAAACAAACTGACGAATAAAATGGCTTCAGTATGTCCACATTGATTGTGCTGTTTGAGATATGTCTATATGGCCCGATTGCTGTATGACGGTTATCTGACAAACTTAGATATAATAAGACTGTAGATCTCGGTCCTAAGATTGATCATAGTTAAAGTGATATTTCTTTAAAAAAACACTTGCTAGGACATTGGAATTTTACCTCTCTTTCCGTCTCTCTCAGAGACCACCCGAGCTGCGACAACTACAAGTTGGTCCAATCGAAAATATTTCTTACAGAAGGGGACAGTTTTGGTCAATCGCTTCAGAAAGTCTTTCCAGAGAAGTTAGTGGGCCATACAAAACCTTAGTTTTGGTTTAATTTCCAGCAATATCCAGTCCCCTTACCCGCATTCAGCCCTTGGTGGCTTCCACCAAACCTGAACTACAGAGGACCACCATTATGTGTGCTTCACTTGGGTTTGCGTAACTCACGAAACTTACCAATAGAACCATATACAAACAACCCCCTGAGACCAGCATTTTCTACGAAATTATCGTTAGACTGTGAATGATCCGCATAATCCGTTCCACCGTTTTTCTAAACAAGTGGAAATGGTTCATCTTTGATGTTATGGATAACAAGACGAAAGTCGTGACGTCAACATCCTACACTCCGAGTCTTCGTAGTTCCTCCTTCAACACATTATTAGACCTAAGCTTTCCAAGACAAACGTTACAAAAACGCCAAGGAAACAGCGGCTGTCTAAACGTACCGAACGGATTCTTTGCGGTGATCGCACTATTCGTTTCACATGGTTCACTGGCACCCATCATGTTGACTGCGGAGACACGGAACCGATACCGTTTCCCCTCGACCAGGCCGCGTACAGGGCAACTGGTTCCGACAACACTGGTGGGAACGCGTTCCCAGGCCCCGGTAAGCGCATCGCATTTCTCCACCACGTAATCTACAGCAGCAAACAGAAATAGGGGAATTTAATAAATGAGAGTGACAGTTAAGGGACAACAAATGTGGAGGACAAAGGAAACATAGGACTATCTCTTGCTTGTACACTGTAAATGGATTGAACTCTGACTAGACAAGTATCTGGTGCATGCAGAATATCGGGATTCGGAAGATTTAGCCTGAAACCATATCTGCAAAACAGTAGGATGTGGACAGTATAAACTCAATGAAGCGCGCGTAAGATGCGGAGGACACGTTGCATCCCTAATTTAATGGAGAAATGAGAGAACCACTATCAGGAAGGTCAGCATCCTGAAAGCAACCACCGAATGCCCGGAATCTACCGAGACTCTCAGCTCCTGGTGTTGAACAGACAGACAACGCCCCCTCACTATGCAGCACGTCACAGCCTTGTATCAAACCCAGACAGCGCGAGTCAGCGTTGATCAAGGTCAGACAACGCCCCGCAGCACGTCGCAGCCAGACCGTGTGCGTCAGCATTGGACTAAGTTCAGACAGTGCACTTCCAATAAAAAGCTTGAGGCCGTTGTACTTTTCGCGCTCGCACGCACTCGCGCTCTCGCAACCACTTTGTTGGAATATAGCTGTTGCGTTCCTTTCCGTGAGCCTTTTTCTCTCCGACACTGGGCACTGGAGCGGGTCGGCAGCAGATACCACAGGCCGGCGAATCAGCAGATATAACAACCACCAATCACCGTCAGCTTTTATTGCATCAGTTTTGTAGCCGACACATGACATTACCATGAAAGTCAACGCAAAAATCGGATGTAATAAGAGCAAGACCCGTTATTTCTATTATGACCATAGCAAATTAGGGGACCTATGAAAAAAGTGATCATGAGGCACTGTCGGTTGATGGTAAGACAGATAAGGTGGTTGCTAGAAGTGTGTTCCTGCGTAGCACGTCACAGCGTGAACGTCGGCCACTTAACAAATAGATCACTACCGGTAAAAGGGTCACTCAGATTCACTTGGGGGAGGGGGGCTGATAAGATAAACACTGTCTGAGGGAGGGCGTTGTTGTGAGCTCTTTAAGGAGAGACACCTGCACAGATATACCCTTCTTAAGAAGATTACTATTTCTGAGTAAGTCGCCGAATTAACTTCGGCACATAAACACACAGGGATGATTAATGGCGAGTACATACAAATTTTCTGCAGGTTTCCACAATGATTTAAATATGTATCATTGTCATAAAGGAAACTACTCATAAGGTTGCTGAAAACTCTTCGACAGCCCACGACCGGTTTCGCCTTTCTTGGGGCTCATCAGGTAGGCGCAGTCCCCGAGTTTCCGTCAACCTTATGATCATTGTGTTCACTTTATTTGGTCATTTCATTCACGATCTTCTGTGACCTAATTACATCAGATGGCTCACAATCTTAGATTGTGCGCTTGAAAACAAACACGACCGTGGATCATTTTATTCGATCGTTCTAAGTCAAGTAAATGTACGCTTTTCGATGTGCTACCTAACTGCACTTTAGCACTCGGAGTCGTATCGTGGCAAGACTCCAAGTCCACACATCACCCACCTTATTGGACCTAAGAACGGGGTTCCGCGAAACTCCGTACGGAAGTTCAAAGTGCTGCCCAGCTCATCTGGCAATCCCTGAATGGTAGGCTAACAGATGTATACGCCATAGCAAGATTCTCACCAAAAACAGTCTGAAAGCGAACGGAACTAGTAAGATAACGACCAAAATGACAGTCCCTCCACAAGGGGACTCAAACTTCATGAAACCAACTCAGTAACCACCGTTCAAAGTAATAATGAATATGGTTCTCATGTTTATCAATGCAGGTGGATAGGTTGCGTTTCACGCCAAATTCGCCAGTTGTGCAAATATGAAGCACATCAGTAAGCGTACCATAGCCTCGGTTGGAAGGATCGGCTGATATCCACCTGTAATTGTAATTGTAATTGTGTCACAGAACACCTTATTTGAATTAGCTAAGCAGAAATATACCAGGCATGTTCCAACCCTAGGGAAGTGCAAGGCACACTGACATGCGTACTAGTGGCGAACTGCCTACATACTTTTTTCCATGAATGGTTTAGCATATAGTGAGACGTCTTCCTCACAACTGTTGTATCTCATACATACTGTATATGGCAATCATTCCAATAAAGACTAAAAACATTGAAAAAGGGCATTTGGTCACTTCTCAGCTGGACCGCCTCTCTAGTAAATGATCTCTTTTCAGTAGAGTTTTACATGACAGGAATTGCTATGTTTGGTTGCAACGCCCATGGCAGAAGAGAGAACGCACCTGTAATTGGACAACCCCCATCAAACTCGGGTGGTTTCCAAACCAGCTTGCAATTGTCCGCAAATAAGTCCGTGACTTCCAGATCCTCAGGTGGTTTGGGTTTATCTGGAAAAGACAACACACGTGTATCTCACACTGAATCGACGACATGACCCCCAGAAATGAACCATCCAGTCACAGATTAGAAGTCACCAAAATTTGTGCTAAGTAGTTTAATACCACTTTCGAAATATCTGAATATATCCCAATAAAGGCATTTTAAAGCAGCACTCTTCTGGTATGCGGTTGCCATAATACTCGAAGAAGATGCGGTGAATGAGATGATACCAGGATGTGTCAAAGCTTATGCGGATTTCCGGGAAAACGTAGAGCAGGCCAACTATGTTGTACTTAGCGGTGAGCTTGAATCAGAAAGACTGTCCTAGACAGGTATAGGCAAGAGTAATAAGAGGCCATTTACAGCTTCGAGCATCGTATTCTGAGCCTTCTATGGTTAGTAGTTAGGAAACTGCACATACACTGGGATGACAATGGGTCTGAGCACTAGCTACACTCCAGTCCTCACGTCATACGAACAGCTGCTCATTCAGAACAGCACCCACACAACTTAAATACATGAATGGTCACTATGAATTCACTTTTTTCTTTGCATGCATATAGAATAATAACAGTCCTCTATCGAATCGGTGGGAAATAGTCAACTGACACAAATGTTATTATGCGGAATTGAACAGATACGAAATTTACTAATGACTACGTCTGAATAAATCGCTGATAATTAAAATGGGATTCAGTTACTAGGCCTTCAGTGATTCAGCCAGCAATGACACACATGATGTGTTGCGGGGACAAGACAGGTTGGACATACCTCTTTTGGGTCGCACTTTGACGATTTCCGTGGGTTGACTAGGTTCGCCAGGCCCAGCAGCGTTAACGGCGCGCACTCGGAATTCATATTCCGCGTTCTCCTCCAAATTGTCCAGATGAGCTTGCGTGCCACTTACTGGCTGCCCATCCGCAGTGGCCGGCTCCCAATCAGCACCGAACTTTTTGCGCTTCTCTACCAGATATCCTGTGATACGGGCTCCACCGTCTTTGGCCGGCTTGGTCCAGGTTAGATCCACGTGGTTTTTCCCAACATCTTCCACCACTGGAGTTCCCGGACTGTCCGCGGTAGCTGGATAGGCAATGGAAAAATAAGTATAAGTATATAAGTGTGTTTGTTTTGTAGCATTTTTCAGACCGAGTAAACATCGAGTTGGGGGCCTGAAAATATACTAACAGCCACAGGCAAAACTCTGTTGAACAGTCACACAAAAAACTGGTTAAACACAGGGCGGTGCTATTCTGTTTGGACAAGTCGAACAGACTAAATCGCCTCTCTGGGCTTTGTTATCATGTGGGCTACCCAGAGAGAACGGCACATTCGCTCCGCTTTTGTAAGTTCAAGTAAAATAATTACCAAACCATCGATCGTCTTTTGTACATTGCTCAGATTCCACAAGCCAAACAATAAGTGGTGATGTAAAGTAGCCTGTAGTTCCGGCTAACTCATCACAATAAACAACACATCGAGTGGGAATCCAGCTGCACATAACACAGTCGACTCCATTTCCTACAATTCGGTTTAAATTTTTGTGCACTTGCTTATCTAACCAGCAGTAGCTAAATCCTTTTCTAAAAATTTGGACTTATTCGTGATATGAACGTGAGAAACGCGCAATGTCCTCGCAAGGAGGCTGGTCCTCAGGTAGTACAATTCGGTTTTTTTGTGCACTTGCTTATCTAACCAGCAGTAGCTAAATCCTTTTCTAAAAATTTGGACTTATTCGTGATATGAACGTGAGTGAGACGCAATGTCCTCGCAAGGAGGCTGGTCCTCAGGTAGTAATACGGTTTTCTTACCTCAGTAACCCATTCAGTTGTACTGAAGGATGTTTATATAGCATCTACAGAGTCTGTCCTATCAGGTTGGTCAGTGAAAAGAGGTCTGAAACACAGTCACCTTGCTTACAAAGTTAAGGCCTGGAACAAATGTGTTAGTTTGTTGCTTGAAATGTAGGCCACCTGAGTAGTCTCAAGTTGACCACCGTTGCATTGAAGCCAGGCTTTTGAGCCAAAAACCTTGATTGAGGACCCTAATCATTCTCACGTTTGGGTTTGGGTTCCATAGTAGTATCTCAGCTACATGCAACCGTGAAATTTGTAGGCACAGATACCTTTATGCCATGTGATAACGTCAGCGGGGTCATCTTATTCGCTGCATATAACAGGGCTGATAAACGAAAACTTGCGACGGCTGACACCTACCATTTTGCTTCGTTGTTATCTCTTAACTCCCCACTTATCCCACTTGACAGCCACTACTTTTATGTAGATCCCAGCTCCAGGCACTTCAGTGAGATAAAAATTGCATTTACACACTTCATGCACGTGTATGGTGCATCCACCGTAGCGTCACCGCTCGGACTTTAAACTCATTAAGAGACATTTTGAAACAGGTTCTGGATATGATCGAATTAACCATTGGACTCCGTTTGGTTCAAAGACCTCCAAACTCAGTTTTGGCGTCTTTCGATTAATGTCGTTTTTGTTCTTGATGCGATGTGCTGCGTAAGCAAACGGCGACCACGTTCCTCGTCATCAGCCATGATAATCCGTAAAGCATGATAAGGATTCACTTTTGGTACTTCTGTCATCCAGATATCACTAGGACAAGAGGTGAATGAAAGAATCCACACCGGCATACTGAAAACTTGCTTGCACTCAACTTATTCTCCCTTACCCTCTAGAAATCATCAAGGGGTAGCGCTCCATAACAATTCACATTTCCTCGGTTTCGCGTCATATGTCCAATTATTCGAGTCAGTACAATCTGACCGGTTATAGCGGCCTTAGAGATAATGAGCAGATAAGTTTCATACACCTAAATCTAGTTCAGTCATATTTGCTGTTTTCCTGACTAATTTTTGCTTTTTCCTCCGTCGCGGCACTGAGTATTCTGAGGACTGCCACTGACAGTTGTCATAGCTACTAACCTCTTAGCAAGAATATGTGGAGTAGTTCATGAAACCAGTTCCTGATAGCAATGTGCGGCTGCAGTCTCCTGCAGGAGTTTGAGCGGGCTGACCAAAATGGTCAGAGGATCAATCCGCCCTGAAAGTGGTCGGTTCACAAGAACAGCTGAATGCGTGTACCTGAGGTGTGCCATTGGCAGGCTTTTTCGTGGGCTTAGGGTCACTTATGCTCAAACCGTACAACAATTAAAAACACCATCTTAGAAACACTCGTATTACGTTAATCACTTTTCCGGTTCTGTTTTTACGGGCATACAGATATTCCATATTACCCGAAAAATGTTTAGTCTGTCAGAATGTCACTTACTGAACTTGGGTTTCTGATAATTAAAATGGGATTCAGTTACTAGGCCTTCAGTGATTCAGCCAGCAATGACACACATGATGTGTTGCGGGGACAAGACAGGTTGGACATACCTCTTTTGGGTCGCACTTTGACGATTTCCGTGGGTTGACTAGGTTCGCCAGGCCCAGCAGCGTTAACGGCGCGCACTCGGAATTCATATTCCGCGTTCTCCTCCAAATTGTCCAGATGAGCTTGCGTGCCACTTACTGGCTGCCCATCCGCAGTGGCCGGCTCCCAATCAGCACCGAACTTTTTGCGCTTCTCTACCAGATATCCTGTGATACGGGCTCCACCGTCTTTGGCCGGCTTGGTCCAGGTTAGATCCACGTGGTTTTTCCCAACATCTTCCACCACTGGAGTTCCCGGACTGTCCGCGGTAGCTGGATAGGCAATGGAAAAATAAGTATAAGTATATAAGTGTATTTGTTTTGTAGCATTTTTCAGACCGAGTAAACATCGAGTTGGGGGCCTGAAAATATACTAACAGCCACAGGCAAAACTCTGTTGAACAGTCACACAAAAAACTGGTTAAACACAGGGCGGTGCTATTCTGTTTGGACAAGTCGAACAGACTAAATCGCCTCTCTGGGCTTTGTTATCATGTGGGCTACCCAGAGAGAACGGCACATTCGCTCCGCTTTTGTAAGTTCAAGTAAAATAATTACCAAACCATCGATCGTCTTTTGTACATTGCTCAGATTCCACAAGCCAAACAATAAGTGGTGATGTAAAGTAGCCTGTAGTTCCGGCTAACTCATCACAATAAACAACACATCGAGTGGGAATCCAGTTGCACATAACACAGTCGACTCCATTTCCTACAATTCGGTTTAAATTTTTGTGCACTTGCTTATCTAACCAGCAGTAGCTAAATCCTTTTCTAAAAATTTGGACTTATTCGTGATATGAACGTGAGAAACGCGCAATGTCCTCGCAAGGAGGCTGGTCCTCAGGTAGTAATACGGTTTTCTTACCTCAGTAACCCATTCAGTTGTACTGAAGGATGTTTATATAGCATCTACAGAGTCTGTCCTATCAGGCCTTCAGTTGTACTGAAGGATGTTTTTATAGCATCTACAGAGTCTGTCCTATCAGGTTGGTCAGTGAAAAGAGGTCTGAAACACAGTCACCTTGCTTACAAAGTTAAGGCCTGGAACAAATGTGTTAGTTTGTTGCTTGAAATGTAGGCCACCTGAGTAGTCTCAAGTTGACCACCGTTGCATTGAAGCCAGGCTTTTGAGCCAAAAACCTTGATTGAGGACCCTAATCATTCTCACGTTTGGGTTTGGGTTCCATAGTAGTATCTCAGCTACATGCAACCGTGAAATTTGTAGGCACAGATACCTTTATGCACCATGAAATTTGTAGGCACAGATACCTTTATGCCATGTGATAACGTCAGCGGGGTCATCTTATTCGCTGCATATAACAGGGCTGATAAACGAAAACTTGCGACGGCTGACACCTACCATTTTGCTTCGTTGTTATCTCTTAACTCCCCACTTATCCCACTTGACAGCCACTACTTTTATGTAGATCCCAGCTCCAGGCACTTCAGTGAGATAAAAATTGCATTTACACACTTCATGCACGTGTATGGTGCATCCACCGTAGCGTCACCGCTCGGACTTTAAACTCATTAAGAGACATTTTGAAACAGGTTCTGGATATGATCGAATTAACCATTGGACTCCGTTTGGTTCAAAGACCTCCAAACTCAGTTTTGGCGTCTTTCGATTAATGTCGTTTTTGTTCTTGATGCGATGTGCTGCGTAAGCAAACGGCGACCACGTTCCTCGTCATCAGCCATGATAATCCGTAAAGCATGATAAGGATTCACTTTTGGTACTTCTGTCATCCAGATATCACTAGGACAAGAGGTGAATGAAAGAATCCACACCGGCATACTGAAAACTTGCTTGCACTCAACTTATTCTCCCTTACCCTCTAGAAATCATCAAGGGGTAGCGCTCCATAACAATTCACATTTCCTCGGTTTCGCGTCATATGTCCAATTATTCGAGTCAGTACAATCTGACCGGTTATAGCGGCCTTAGAGATAATGAGCAGATAAGTTTCATACACCTAAATCTAGTTCAGTCATATTTGCTGTTTTCCTGACTAATTTTTGCTTTTTCCTCCGTCGCGGCACTGAGTATTCTGAGGACTGCCACTGACAGTTGTCATAGCTACTAACCTCTTAGCAAGAATATGTGGAGTAGTTCATGAAACCAGTTCCTGATAGCAATGTGCGGCTGCAGTCTCATGCAGGAGTTTGAGCGGGCTGACCAAAATGGTCAGAGGATCAATCCGCCCTGAAAGTGGTCGGTTCACAAGAACAGCTGAATGCGTGTACCTGAGGTGTGCCATTGGCAGGCTTTTTCATGGGCTTAGGGTCACTTATGCTCAAACCGTACACCAATTAAAAACACCATCTTAGAAACACTCGTATTACGTTAATCACTTTTCCGGTTCTGTTTTTACGGGCATACAGATATTCCATATTACCCGAAAAATGTTTAGTCTGTCAGAATGTCACTTACTGAACTTGGGTTTGCACTCAATCGGCCTCGAAGTGTAACAGAATTCACCAACACCTGCCTCGTTCTTTGCTGCCACACGGAACTGATATTTCTCGCCCTTTCGGAGACCGTCAACTGAAAAAAAAACGACAGCCATATTTAATGACTTTGATGAGAAACTGTAAAATATGGGGTTCAAGGAGAGTACCATAGACTGAAAAAGATATTTACCTGTGGTTTTCAGACCTTTCACCAAGCCACCCGGCGCCTGTCGCCAGTCATCCGAACTTGCTGGTTTGTATTCGACCACATAACCTGTGATTCGTCTTCCACCGTCAGAACGTGGCTTGGCCCATTCCAGTGTGACTTCATTGGCTTCAACGTCGGTCGCCGATAAGTTACCGGGAGCTCCAGGAACAGCTGTGGAACAGAGCATTCATCCGTATTAGTCAACCTGTATACACAAGTACTGCCATTGAAAGTAAGACAATGCAACTAGCCATTCGAAATTATTTGCGTACCAATACAATAGATTCGAACCAAAAGCTAGCATTTCATTTGCACACACGGATTTTAGTCCGCTTGTCGAAAAGAGAGTCGCCTTTAATACAGACTACTGTGGGACTGATCAAACAGGCCTATTTAGGCACAAAGGTTTCCGTTCTGAGGGTGATCAATACCCAAGTTTTCTGTGACAAATGAATGAATCCAGTTGCTGACGTATTAGATCACCCTATAAGGAAACGAGTAAATTTACTCCACGATATGGAATGTAGATCCCTTGGTATACCTTTGGTGGGGCTCAGTTCAACAGAAAGAGGACTAGTTTCCACTTCGTAGCAGTAAGTCAAGATTAAAACTTGGGTTAAACTGGCCTGAATCACTCGCACCTAGCTTTTCTGCGAGTTCGGATTATGAAAATAATCAAGTTATCGCAAGGACGGAAGCTACTGAATAGTCGGTCCGAAAATAGATTTTTCACATCATACGATAACGTGATCAAGCAGAACCTACTTACAATAAAATCCTATCACATCATCACACAACTTGAGTGACAGACAGGGAAATCTACTGCATGTTATTATGGCTATTGCACACATGGTGCCATTCAAAATATGCTTTCTACAATACAGCCAATCTGAGTGGCATCACCAAACTATCGTTTCGATAACTCTCTAGTGATCTGAGTGCTACCAGCATACTAGTGCTAACTCCCCCCCATTTCACGGATTAACAGCGTCAGAGTTCTTTTGAATGCTCATCACGTTTGTGTGCTCCTTTAACTTTTAATGCGTCAGAGCCCACGACCATATGCTGTTCGTCATCAACCATCACTGTGGAAAAGAGATCGAGTTGCTTTTTGGGACTGAACAACCACCTCTAAAATATCAGGGCTGTGTTGCCGGAATCTTGGATAATCCACGGTTTCTGACAATACCGTGAAATTTTCAGGCGCATCACACTGTTAAAAATAGTAGTTCAATGACCCATAAACTGTTGCTGATTGAGCTGAACGATCTTCACTTTGTCTATGGTGGGATCAATCTCCACTTCTACTGAATTTGTCATCTAAGGATCTACGTTAATACAGCTGAATTAACAGCCACAAAAGTGAGCGATGTTTGAGTGTTTTAACCCACCAATACTGAGTTGTTGGCCACTTTGACCATGATACCTAACCGACCACATGAGTGTCCACAACTTAATGTACATTTCAAGATTGACAGCATTACATGGGAGTCCTGGGATCATCCAGACAGGTTAGACACATTATTCAGTGGCAAGAGGGAACATCGAAGGAAATCGTTATGGCTAAAAATGGCGCTTGAACATCATGGCTAGCCGGAACCCTTCCAGGCAGCGTCTGAAGGAGGAAAAGGACCGAAATTTTTAGATTGTTCAGCTATTCTTCGGGTGCCTGCATTCTACCTTCTGATAAATTGATAAAGTCGGCAGGAGGGGAGCTTTTGTTAGATAGGGAAAATGAGTGAGTGCACTGAAGTGTTGCGGGAATCGACCAGTTAATAGAGAACACAAACTCGGTTCAAAACACACCAAAGCCGCCCAGTTCCAATCACTAAACCTTTACAAAGCCAAGATTCATGTAATGGACGTGTGGATGCAAAAGTAAACTTACTGAAGGGATTCTCTGCAACGATGGACTTTTCTCCATCCAGGGGTTCACTCACACCATACTCGTTTGCTGCACGAACTCTGAATCGATACATGTGACCTTCATCCAAACCAGTCACATCGTAAACCGGACTCCGAACAAATGCGCTCACGGTACTCCACTCACCGGTCTTTGTGTCTTGTTTCTCCACGACATAGTTGGTGATGGGTGAGCCACCAGTATCCTGTTGAGTCGTGACAAATAAAACATGCATTTGCGTTCATTATCATGTTTGAGCCTACAGTTCACTTAAGCAGTGCCATTAGGAAATTAATTTAAACGGACAAAGTTTTGAACTCCTAACGCCGGAGAATTTGCAGTAATTAAAACTCAGATTTTCAAGCATGGCTCAGCGTACTAAGAGACCTGCTTTTAGAGATTGCTTACCGCTGAGTACGACGGGCCACTCCGACGCACAGTGAGGATCAACCATGTTATCCACGTCGTCCCCAGTTTTACTGTCAACTTTCGACCGGCTGTAGGAAGTCAGGGTATCTTTTTTATTGAAATGTAATGTAACTAATGTAACTTAGCGGCGGGGACCACGGGTTGGCAACACCAAACTGCTGCAGATAGAGGCTGAAAACCATACTGCGGTTCTATATTGACCTTTTGGTCGCTTTTATTTATCATGTTAGTTGGACTCTATCAGAGTTTAACTAATTTTGGCAGCCTACATAGTGCAGATTCTTAGTGTCTGGAAAGACGTCAAAGAACAATGTTGTAAGTCAGCTGACTTATTTGGACTCGGTGTAATAGAAATAAGGTGTTTCTGAAAAATGCTAGTGACGGAATATGAAACTGAATAAATGAACCGTCAATTCAGTACAAGAGTATTTCCAATCTATATTTTCATTAACATCAAAAGACTCTCATCTAATCCGTTTCTGCTGCAACTACCATTTTTAGATGTGATCGTTCAATTCTTCGCGACGTTCACATCGCTACCAGGCCCTTAGAAAATTGGAAATCCTTGGACTTTTTGGCTTTCCAACTTCGGATATATTGTCAAAGTGGGTTACTTCCGACGATGAAAGAATTAGATACGATAAGATCACCGGACATCCAACATGTGCCTAGGACGAAATTCTGTCGGTATTTGTGGAGGTCAAGGAATCGATCGGGTTATTAAGTAGATATAAAGTATAGTGCAAGTCGGCACTTATTGAAAGGTCAAAATCAGCTTGAGGAAATCAGTGCATTTTTGAAACAGGTTGGAATCGAAAGGGTCACACAGGATAGACGTTGGTGATAGGGAATGGTGTTCACTGATGCATAATTTCGACAGCACATCCTCGTCACCCTTTTCAGTACGAAATCCTCTCACCACTTCGATACTTACCCTTGATAAGCGCTATTCTAACCCATCAATAAAGATATCAGGCGCGCTTTCTAAGACTGAAATGGAGAATATGGTAGAACATTGTGGATTTCCTGAACAGTTCTTTCTATAAGAGAATTTCTCAATTATCTCCCTTCTCAAGCGCAATAAATTAGCTTCTATTCATACATAACTTCATGAGTTTACGGAATGTTATATGAAACATCGGTTTTCATAAACAAATCTGGAACACTAATGAGAAGAGAGAAACACTGGCAGATTCACTTGGGCCCGTGAAGTTTTTCAACCTGTACTGCATCTGCTCGAGTTTATCAGCAATGTCTCTAGGAAGGAAAGATTAATATGTCGATACAGGAACCATTGTTGGGACAACTAATGATGAAGCAAGCACCGTTATGACCAGGATGGGTGGGGTAAATTGTGGGGATAAAAGAACTGAAAGGGGAGTTTTGGCTGACGAGCGCGTGAGTCCAGTGGCTACCAGTTGTTTAGCCTTAGGTATTCACCGGAATACTCATGCGTTGACACCTAGTTCAAAGCGACGAAAAAGATCTAGTCAATCAGCGAACAGTTCAATGTGACCGTCCGTTATGTTGACACAAACTCACTGTTGGTGGGTTCCACGAAAGAGTGCACGATTCGGCCTTGATATTACTGATATCCAAAGGACCTTTGGGTGCCTCCGGTGGGCCAAATACCTTGACCGTTACCGGAACACTGTCTCGGCCCTTTTCGTTTTCCAACTCCACTTGATAAGGACCAGCATCGTCCTTTTGTGCTTTCATGTCGGTTATGATAACTTCGTCTGGAGTCACTTCAACTTTGAATCGGCCGCCTTCCAGTGGTACCGGAATACCAGCCTATAGGGGTTGGGTGGTATAGGAAAAAACCGAGTTGATATTTGGACGAGCGCGTAAATAGTCGCAGATTATTATGGGTATGTGGGGTTTTGTGAAACTGAATGTTGGCAGCGCGCGGCGAGGCTAGGCTTCGAATGCCAACGCCTGTAATGTTAGTTAATTCACAGCTGTTTCCGCAAATCCGACCTTGATCAACCGCAAGGTCTGGTGCGTAAAACAACAAAATAACTTACCGGAACACTGTCTCGGCCCTTTTCGTTTTCCAACTCCACTTGATAAGGACCAGCATCGTCCTTTTGTGCTTTCATGTCGGTTATGATAACTTCGTCTGGAGTCACTTCAACTTTGAATCGGCCGCCTTCCAGTGGTACCGGAATACCAGCCTATAGGGGTTGGGTGGTATAGGAAAAAACCGAGTTGATATTTGGACGAGCGCGTAAATAGTCGCAGATTATTATGGGTATGTGGGGTTTTGTGAAACTGAATGTTGGCAGCGCGCGGCGAGGCTAGGCTTCGAATGCCAACGCCTGTAATGTTAGTTAATTCACAGCTGTTTCCGCAAATCCGACCTTGATCAACCGCAAGGTCTGGTGCGTAAAACTAAAACAACAAACTTACAGTTATCTCATAGGTGAGGATGAGGTAAGATAACCTTGATTTTGTCTCTCAGCTAATGCTCAGACATTATCAGACAGGCTTGATCTCGCTGCTAAAAGCGCATTTGCATAGCTCCAGGTAATCGTCTGGGCCGGCCGATAATTTATGCAAGTGTTGTAATTGTTATCCAAAACAAACGCATTTGAACAGTTAAGCTGCATGCTGTTCTGACATTTTGCAATTAGAAAAGGGCTTACATACGAAACGCGGCACCTATTCAGAGACCATCGTTCAGTTACTCATGAGGCCGGAGATGACACATCAGTCGAGTCAGCTTTTTATACATGCAAGCCTCAGTCTAAGATGAGGCAGCAGCCAGTATCACCAAACCCAGTGTTCGCTTCATAGGATGGTGAAAACAGGTGCGTGGGAATTGGTGCACTTCAAGGGGGCTGTTGCTGTCTTACAGAGGGTTACTTCTGTCCACAATAGCCTCTGTGACGGGTTTTAACGGCATAGATTAAGTACATGTTCCTGTTGTGTATGGAACCATTTTACACTACGCTTGTTAGTCACTTGAGGTGCGGAAGTTACGTATCCTACTGAACTGCAGATCACAATCTAACGAAAAGAAGAGTGCGAAAGTGATCTCTCTGAAAGGTATCAAGGAAAAGGGCTATCCCTATTTATGCATACGAGTGGCTCTTGTTAAGTGATTAACCATACGTATGAAGTATGGAAAAACAACCGTTAACACTAAATTTCTAGAAAACATACCTTGATCAGCTGAACCTTCTCTGGTGGGCTTCCCGTATACGGGATTCGAATACTGAATGGCTCATCGACGCGAGCGTTTATTTCTCTAGGAGCGTCACGGCCAATTTTCGGTGGTGCTTGAAATGAACAAAAGAAATCAAACAAGACACTCTTCACTGGCTGTGAAATAACTTTGATATAAATTCACGAGGACGTTTATTAAGTATGCCATCTGTGAAATATCTACTTTATTGCATGTTCAAGGTTGGGATCAGTTTTGTGACATCTCATAGTGACACTTTTTCACCCAGTATTTATGTGTATCTCAAATGTAGTCGTTGTTGCCCGTTAGTCTAGTCTTCTATCGATGTTCAGGGTAAGTCACTCGACTTATTCATGGAAGAATTGACCTTTTGATGAACGAGTGTTCCCCAGTCCGAGCCTACTCTAGGCCAAACCCATTCTCTTGAATGTCCACGTGATTCACGCCGTGATACCCGATAGGGTGATAGCGTCGACTGGTGACTTGCATAGCTCAACGTCTGAATACAACAAGATATAGTTTCTGACAAAGAGCTCCCCCGTCTACTACGACCATATTGAGATTCAAACAAGATAAGAACGATTCTTGCCCTTAGATTTCCCCTTCAACCGAAAGCAGCATAAAATACTATTTTATAGTTAACTTTAGCCAATATTAAGGAACTATATCCAGCTGGTGAGCTACAAGCAGGATAAGACTGTCAGTGGAGTTCCGGTGGATTTTGCTTAGGCCTACACTACCAGTGTAAAACCAATAATTGTGGCAGTTTTATACTCCACTAGTTCTTCGACAGGTGGTTCGCTTCCATGTGTTTATTCATTCACATATAGGTCATGTCAAAAGGCTGCTGGTTGTTTTCTTCTCTGTACAGGATGGATGCGGTGTCGGGGTCAGCTGACCTGTTGAACTACGCATCACGTGGTCGTTTTGATCCGTATTCTTTCTCTGGAAATTTGCCTGTCAGACATCCAACGGCACTATACCCGTTACAAAATTCGTTTCGTAGGATAGACAGACGATGAGAGCTCCAGAATCCGACGTCAAGGTACAACTCTAATGGAGGAATATTCGACATAGGGATTCGAACCAGGTAGATAAAGTTTTGGAACCAGTAACCAATTTACAAATTGTCTACCATACCCTTCTGGCTTGTTTGAGTTTGAACTGCACTGCTCACTTTTGTCGTTAGCTTTCCAACCGTACAACTTTTCTTTGTATCAGTTGCTGTCCAAACTGTCTACGCGAACAGAACATAGACGAGAAGTACCTGCATGTTTTCCTATTGTGTCGACTGGCATTTAGCACCAGTGAATACAGATTTCTGTGCTATGCACTTTTTAGGTTGATTTTGGCAACCAGTTCGCAACCTCCCACATTTAGTCAGCCATACAATCGCCTATAAGATAGGTTAAAAGGACAACACAGTGTGCGATAACAGATCGAGATACTACGAACGTGTGTTTTGGCGCCTGATGATACAAGTGTTTCTGACTGACACAAACGCAGTATTTAGTTTGGGTATGGAGTGGTGTGCAATAATTGAGGAGGTGAGGAACAAAATATATACATTACTCTTCTGCGGGTTTTACTGTTGTGCTTGAATGTGGCGTGCGATGCGAAACGAAGGTAGGACAGAGGGAAGAAGGGGAGTTGGTACTGTCTCATTAGAAGCCTAATTACACACAGCACTAATAGAAAATTTTTGAAGTGGAATTATTCAGTGCCTAATCAATCAATCATAGCTCTGTTGCAAACGATGAGAAGGGGTCAGTTAACGTAAAAGTGCATACAGCTTTGCAGCGGTTTTGATAGACACCTACAGATGCTGTCAGGATCTATTCTTCGTCATTTAGAACGTTGAAAGCTGCTGTTCACAAGGAAAGCTGAACAGATTTTAGTCACATTGTTGGATGACTGGATTTTCATGGGCAGTCCAAAGTTGGCGCCGTAAAAGGATTCCAGTCTCCGTTTCGGTGTGGACTAACTCCCGTCAGTAGCGACGGGGACAAAGGTTAATGTGGATACAAGTTTCTCAGTGAAACCAAGACTGATGTGATCCTGTGGTGCCACTATAAGCTCTTCATGTAAAAAAAGAAAAGCTATTCTACTTAGGAATCAGATTTTTCTCAATCACTTATTTGTTGTTCATAAGGTGTTAGGTACCTAAAGTGTTAGGTATTTTGTGTTAGGTACCTAAAGTGTTAAGTATTTTGTGTTAGGTACAGCAAACTACAGCATGCACTGACAGCTTGTGGAAGTGTTCTCTCTAGAAGAGGGCACTCCACCCCAGTGTTCATCCGTATCTCAAACGCTACATTTCTTTTTGTGTACACGGAGGGACAATATGATTGTTCACGTACAACGGACTTGAAGTCAAAACTGCCACATGATGACACTCGCACTTATAACCAGAGGGGCCGGTGCTACCTTCACTAATCACAAAACAGTCGATGTGATCGACCAAAAAGCAGTCACCTTGTTAAACTTTATCCCTTTCATTGGTTATAGCTGTATTTTAGTGAGTCAAAATGAGGTAATCATCAACTCGACGTACTATTTGTGAATAGTTCTCTACCGATATATTCCCCAAGTAGCGTCTGGACGCAGCAGTTACACAGAAACCTTGACTTACTTGTTGGGTATTGAACTTTTGTAACATCCGTTGGTTCACTGGGTTCACCTAACCCAGCCAGATTGTATGGCACCACCCGAAATTCGAATTCCTTGCCTTTTGGTAATCCCTTCACTGTGTAGCTTGTACCAACCACGTTGGACGTATTGGCTCTGCAGGGTGGGGGTTAGATCGAAAAACTTGAAACAATTGGCACGACCGATACAGATTGTCTATTTTATTTACATTCGATTCTAACCGAGCGGAGCCTTAGACATGGGACATAGAATAGATCTGGAGAATGTGGAAATTTTAAGACTGGGACTGCGATTCACATCACAGTGGCTGATAGCCGAGGCGGTGGAAATTGCTATGCATCACAGTGTGAATAGAATAGAACTGGCGAGCGTATGGAAAGCGGTCTTAGATAAGCCGAGTTGACACGTGACGGTGTGGTTGTCAATCCACGTAGGATCTTAGCACTAGCTCATCCACACAGACGGACAGAAGGTTCAAACGATGTTCAAGAGGGACCATCAAATGAACCGAACCAGAAGAACTAGAACCTAGGCTGGACCCAAACACATAGGTTTCCACACCGACCCAACACTTGTTCGACCACTCTAACACTAAAATCCCTCGGCCGACACCCAATAGAGATTTAGCTTGACGTAACTGATTGGTTCTCCTTCCGTCTTAAATCTCGACCAACCTCGGAACCTAGTCACTTGGCCTGACAGAGCTTTTGTGTTAAAAGCGAAACGTTGTCCAGCAATAAATCTACCGATTGTCACCAAACTTTTTCGAAAGGAAGTATGTCTTTATTTTTACTCAACCTGGAGTGGAAGAGAACGAATAACTGCAGTCCACTCCTGTCAAGATTCTTCAATGAAACAGATGTCAAGTGCGTGTTTTAGATGAAAGCAACTACCCGAATGAGGCTGTCAGTTTTTTCTAACAACAAAAGGGACAGACAAGCGTTCAGTTCGGTCTCGGTGTCTTGGCCGACGTACAACTAGCGGACTGTGAATGAGCAGTGACGAAGCCTATGGAACGAAGTAAAAACGAGCAAAAAATGACCGATCATGTGATATTCACCAAAAATGCACAATCAGTGGTATATAGTTGAAGTTGGATGGGGATCACAGCTGCTAGTCGGCTGTGTATTTTACGTCACCGCTAACCATGAGACGGGTTGCATGCCTGCTGAATCGGCCGTCCCAAACCGGGTTGTTAGATGCCTTCTCACTGTGTAGCTTAACTGTATTCGTGTGTATGGCAGCAAGAGGACCAATCACTGAGATGAGGACCACAACGTGGCTATTGGCATTACCATACCCCCTCCCATCCTAACAACTGTTTGAACTAATCTCACCTGTTGATTTAATGTGTTCCCAGTTCAGCTTTTCGTTAGTGAGGTATTCTTCGTATGCAGCTTGTAAGTCGATTGCGGAAAAAGCCAACAACAGTCATTTGCAAATCAATTTGGTTTTCACGAGAGACTCAACTGAATCCCTCGTTTATGATATTCTACAACTGAATGTGCTGTACACAGGCCGCCTCATGATTCAGTTGGCATGATATTCGAGATATCGCAGTATATTTTCATAAAGGAAACTACTCACAAGGCTACTGAAAACTCTTCGACAGCCCACGACCGGTTTCGTCCTTCTTGGGGCTCATCAGGTAGGCGCAGTCCCCGAGTTTCCGTCAACCTAATGATCTACTTGAACCCAAATTGGGCAGTTTTCGAGAAATATACTCATTTGCAAATCAATTTGGTTTCCCTCGTCTATGATATTCTGCAAGTAGATCATAAGGTTGACGGAAACTCGGGGACTGCGCCTACTTGATGAGCCCCAAGAAAGGCGTAACCGGTCGTGGGCTGTCGAACAGTTTTCAGCAACCTTGTGAGTAGTTTCCTTTAAGATAGCCAACAACAGGTTTTTTCTCAGTCGCAACCAGGATAGCAAAACAGCAGATACTTTTGCGTTTGTAGAACTGAACAAGTTGATAGACGCTTGGTTTTATATGCGAAAATCTGAAATAGCTGGAACTGCTTAGCTGCCTATTTTCTATGGTGACCGCTGCCGGACATTTTCACACTTGATTTTGTAACAGCTTTCCAGGTTTTTCCCATTTGGTCGGTGTGGTCCGAAGAACCATCGGAGCTTATGGCAGAAAACGGATGGATAGAAATGCACACTGTGAGAAGCGAGAATGCTCTGTGGATCACGTGCCCAAAATTTTGAAATGGAGTATTGCATCACAGTGGTGTGGCAATTCTCCGCACCGCATGTGGGGTGAATTCCGGTGGTAAGTATTTATCAATCTCGAGTAGTTGGAATACCTCAAATTCTTAGTTGTGCAATTTGATTTGTTGATGGTTCGCCAATGACAAACTTACTTAGTCCATTCTCTAGATCCTTTTGGTCGTTTCTCAACAACATAGCCAGTTGTGGGACCCTTACGTGGTGGTTCCCAAGACAGTGATACTGAATCATCCGTTGTGTCTTCAACAGTTGGTTTTGACATTCCCGATGGTGGGTCTGTAATGCAACACGGTTGCAATGAAAAGCATTGAACTCGGCAACATCAAAACTGAGTATAAAAGTGAACTTTACACGTACATGCCCCCATTGTGTGGAGCAACTGCTCATCGATCATGTCAAACAAAACATACGACAACACATGCACTATCTGTCGAATCGGATTCACTTAGAGTTACACCAGAAGACCGATGTCAGTCAAAATAAACTTCCAGTACATAGTACTTAAAGGTTCTATCCACTCGTTTCTTCCATCAGCCAAAGTAGTCTGACCATTGTCACTTACCATACGGATGCTTGGCCTTTATTGGTTTGGTAGTCACTAGTGGCTCACCCATACCCATTGCGTTTTCTGCCATGACTCTGAATTCGTATTCATTGCCCACCTCCAGATTTCGAACAGTCGCTGTTGTTGTGTTGAGAAAGTTGCTCACTTTTTGCCAACTGCAACAGAAAAGGAGGGTTTTGCAAAGTTCTGAACTGGTTGGTTTCCCAAAAATTTGGGGTGAAAAACCCAAGTTATTCCTTTAGAGAGATGTGCCACACTATTTCCCCGTAACCTGCCGTTGTCTGCACCTCTTCCGAGCGTTCGTGTGGAAGTTCTTTGTGCTATAAATAACCTCAAGTGCAAATCATTTTGGTGTTAGAGGGAGATTCAGTTTAATCCCCCGTTTATGACAATTAGTCTGTTATATGAAGTAAAATCGAGTGGTCTCACCCCGATTAGACATGATCTGAATCTACAGTTGAACGAAGGAACAGAAAACTGATATACTTGCAACACAGGCATGGACGTTGTGCTGCATATCACCAGTGTGTGATCACGCATAACTCCAAAGTTTTCCAATACTGGTCAATATGTTGGAATGAATTATATATAGACTTTTCTTGGCACAATTCCATTTGTAATTTTATCGAAGACACTTCAACAGCTCGCTAGCGGTTTTCACCTTACTTGAGGCTCATCAGGAAGGCGTAGTCCCCGGGTTCCTATCACCCCTATCTTATGCATGAAAATCAAGTTGGAGGAAACTGTGTTCACATGCAAATTGAGTTGGCGGTTCCAAGAAACTCGACTAAATCCCAGCTGAATCTTTAATTTGTGATATTTTTCGACTAACCTGTGTAAATGTTGCACCCCCGAATTCATGATTATAAGAAAAATTGTTAGGTCCCAGGGACCAGTGAAAATATTTTACTAGCGTTGTCCAGAAACGAATATTGCTAGGATGAGCACTTTCCGTAGGGAAATTAACCATTGTCACAGAGCTTAACGTTCTTCAGCAAAGGTCCCGTTAGCTTTGACAGAGTATGGCAATGTCGTACTTAGGGCAGAAACCTAAACTTAGACTCATGTAAACAGCATCGGATGAAGGCTAAAAGATCAAAATAAGAAAACTTTTGGGAACAGATGTTAACCACTGGTTTCCGAAACCTCTCCACACCATCAGTATTCACGATCGGCCCAATCAGTGACAGCAGCATCCGCACAGGTGTGCGTACCTTTTCCGGTTTCCTCATTAGACCAACAATTTGTTCAACTGTAGGAGATTGACAGACCGGATTAGTTGTTAGTGTTAGTTTTTCCGCATTTTTGTGGGGGCTGTGCATATTCTTAGCGATTCCTCTAATGTTATTGTTTTGGGAGACAAAGTCCAATTATTAGGTATTGGAGCACTGTAGATAAGCCAGAGTCCTGGAATAAAAACAGAAAGCACTGTGATCCCCTGCACCTGTTTCAGTAATACCTGGCTAGGTTTGTTGCTAGCGCGATATAAATGGCGTTGTGAATTCCAGAACAGTAAAAAGCACCTTTCAAATACGCTTCTCGGTGTTTAATTTGGCCCTATTGTTTCATAAAGTTCAGAATTTGCGGAACAGAATGCAGTCCGATCTACAAAATAAGAAATAAACAGTGATGAAAAACCTCTCCGGATTGCGGTCAACCAAACCGGTTAACGCCATGCTAGCTGTCATGTTCCTGTCTTGAAGACATATGGGATCCAGTTAACAAAAGTTCAACAACCAATGCGCAGTCAGACATGAACTGAAATTGTTTGCAGTCTAACAGAGACGCAGGTTTCGTCAGGTCGTTCTTTCGTTTGTAAAGGACTACATTAGTCGGACTTCCATTGAATAATCATTAGTAACACATCGGGGATCAACAACTATCCAGATAAAACTGTTCGACTACTCGCCAGCCATCAGATTGTCCGATAACAGCTGGTCAGGCCAGAATTCACAACCAATTCGTTTGACTGCAATTTTGAGGTTTTGCGGGATAGATATTTTTGTTCATTGTCACACCACTCCCGTATGAACGGGCGTATTCCTGTTCTGGCGTAATTATTCCGGTGAGTCCATACCAAAGGGAAGCACTGGACTCCAGTTTCGCTCTTATTAGAGCTCATCATATCCAATGGCCGTGCCGGGATCTGAACCCCTTGACATCTGACATGCGAGACGAGCGTGTAACCACTACGCGTGTAACCACCAACGCACGTTGGACGCATCTGAACAGGCGAACGTGTTCACACTTGAGCGATGTGATTCGTTTGAACACACAGCTCTTGTTAATTTCCGGATATTTTATGAAGATGCATTATCTGTTTACATACGCAACCATCAAATTGCACTTTTACAGTATAATCCAAGTACCTCGAAAGAGGGCTAGAATTAACACACGATCATCCACGTAAATGGACATGCTTGTGACGTTTGAGTAGATTCCCAATATGTCATCAATAGACTTGACAGGCTCTTGAGTGGTGAGCATACTGCATCTATTTCCTGCTAAACATTGACTGGTAAGAAAACGGTTGTGACTAGGAAGAAAACCTCGCAGAGACCGAGTTTTATTAATCCTATGATATATAAATATTGATATAAAACCCAGGGCACAAGTGGTAGCTAAACTGTCTATTACAGTCAAGTGTAACTAATTTTGGCAAGTTAGTAGCCAAAATAACTGGAAGACTTGAGTGGGTTTGACGAAAGTTAACAAGCTTATGACCTTAAGTTTTGGATTTTAATACTGAACCGGAAACAACTAGCGAATTTTCACGAACCTGTCGCTCCCCTTGAGACGTTTCTCTAAAATGTAGTTTGTGACTGGTTGGCCTCCGTCGTCCAAAGGTGGTTTCCATCTCAAGGTCATTTCATCTGCATTCACATCTTCGGCTTCAAGTGGACCTTCCGGAGGTCCTGGTACATCTATTGAAGTCAAAAAGGAAAAGTTACAGATGGTGGACAGTTCATAGTGAAAGATTCTTGGGGATACTTGTGATATCAGGGAGCTACCTTGGTGAAAGATGTCACTAGACCATAATATGTGGATGAGATGATGTCAACTATATAAGAGACAAAAATACAACTAGAAACGTCAAATTTTTCACTGTTGTTCGTGTAATTTATCTACTGTATCTAGTGCAGCACAAAGGTTCTGAAGGTCAAACACTGGACAACGCATAAACCGTTTGCTTTCACGGGTCAGACTTCAGAACAAAAAACAGTTTATTCTTAGATTTTGATTGATTTGGGCCTGTGTAATTTCCCAGAGCATTAGCAACAGGAAATATCTGACAGTTTTGCAACGATTTCAGCATCACATCCGTCAAGCCCACCCCATCATCGTATAAGTGTCCGAGAGTAGTTAATACCTCTCATGTCATTTATGATGATTTGTGGTCGCATGCTAAACTATGTTGGCATTTTATCTGCGCCACCGCCTGGTTTATTGCTAAGACTGAAGCGAAAATTTTTTGCTCCGAAGGTTAAAATGGAAACAGAAGAGTGGGACGGCAGCTGATGTTTTCGGAATTGAGCGTGTTTGATGATAGCAACACAGCGAAACACCCCATTCTTCCTGCACAAAGGGCCAACAGACACCGTGAATGCGCTTTGAGGTGTGTAGATCCGCTCGAACTTCCTGTCTCAGATCTTGCAAGGTGTAGGACTGTCGGCTTCTGGCTAAAAAAGCGAAAGCCTCAAAAAGCCGCGTGGGAATGCTGCGCAAAAGATATATGAATCTTCAAAATGAAGGACTGAGAAATGTTGGTGCACATCAGAAGTAAGAGATTATCTTATAACATCAATTTTCTTAGAACATATGATGGAGGGAAGTTAGTCTAACTACCTAATGTAGTTTTTATTGCACCTATAATTTCAAGAAGTAATCAGTAAGCGACATTCTTTAAGGCAAAACAGTAACTGGAATTCAACATATACACGTGTTTGCATACCAGATTGGCCTTCGCGTGAGACTCAACTGAATCTCTCGTTTATGAAATTCTTCAGCTAAATGTCCAACAAAGAGGCCGCCTGATGTTTCAGTCGGTACAGTGCATTTTTATAAAAAAAAACTACCCATAAAATTGCTGAAAACTGTTCGACAGCTCACGACCTGCTTCGCTCTTCTTGGGACTAATCAGGTAAGCACAGCCCCCCGAGTTTCCATCAACCTTGTGTTTTACTTGAACCCAAATTGGACTGATTTCGACAAATGCACTCATGTGCATAACAATCATAAACAAGAGAGACGAAAACTCGGGGACTGCGCCTAACTGATGAGTCCCAAGAAGGGCAAAACCGGTTATGGGGTGCTGAAGAGTTTTCAGTAACCTTGTGAGTGAATTCCTTTATGAAAGCCAATCAACCATATAATTAATATAAGCCTTAAATAGACATTCAGTACCGTACTGGTGATTACAGACCAGTCCTTGTCACTGATTCGGATCGACTAAACACAATTAATGTTTCCATATCCAGATGAAACTGTATTTTTGACGTGTATAAGGTGGTGTACCTCGCTCAATAGCAACCCGATTTAGACTTACAAACACTACCGCAATCAGGACTGCTCCACTTTTTACATGCTATCAACCGGCCTTTTTTTCACAGGCGCTCTACAGTCCCCTCGTCAGGGCGGTGTGCACCGTGCGTCGAAAACAGATCAATGTTTGTACCAATTACTCTGCTATCCTGTGGAATGTGGTCGAGATGATGAGGGAAATGTGTGTGCATGCTTGCGCGCGCGGCATATCCATTCCACAAAACTGGTTGCTACAGCAACAACAGCACGTATGCACCCTCTCAAAATACACAAGTGTCCCGCTGACAGCGCAAATAACAAGGTTATCAGCCGGGCAGTTTTTCCTGTCCGGCAATGAAAAAAGACAAGTAGCTGGGATCAAATGCCACTGATCCATCGATCATATCTCGCATAATCAATAGTTATGTTCATTCGGGGGACGGTATGATAGGTTGGGAAATTTCCTAGATGTTACAGCAAGATCTAAGGTAGATAAGGGAATAAGATAAGGCAATATTCACGGTGGTATAAAAGCTTTTCCTAGGTTTTACGCATTCAGATCAAGTCATACATTCATAGTGTTCCTCTCTGAAATATTATTCTTTTCAAAGGTACCAGGATTCCACACTGGAAATGCTTTCTTCGAAGCATAGATAAAGGGGACTTAGGACACAGGGGAGTAGCATTTGGGGGACCATCAAGGAAACCGCTACGTATGAGACATTCTTGGAACAACTGAAAAAAGAACTTGTTTATGGCAGCGCTGTATCACTGTTCTTCCATGAATACTGGCAGCGTGCACTGCTATTATTGCATCCATGACAGAGTAGCGTTAAGTTAATCTCCATTGGTTACTAAGTCCGCATGGCCTTACAGATCCTTACTTCGAATAAGTAGGAAGTGTAGACGGTCCAGACAGACAACACTACGTCCAACGGATAAACATTGCTGCCTTTTTTCTCTTGGAAATGGAATTTTTATATCTGGCAATGGTCCAATTTGTTCACCTTTCCTATGCTATTACTAAAGTGAAAAGAGTCACTGCGCAAAGTAACCGTGGTAATCAGACGGTTAAACTTACCAAGGACTTCCACATGGCATGATGTTTTTACTTGTCCTAAATCGTTCATTAGCGTCAGTTCGTAATCTCCGGTGTCCGCACGCCGCACCTTTTGAACCTCAAGGACTGCTGTACCGCCTGCCGGTTGTTCCAAAACTCCTCCCGGTCCTGGCTTGGCAGGTGGCGGGGGTGGTCTGTCCAAAATTTTCGTTCGAGACCCGTCCGGCTTGACGGTTTTACCTCCAGCTGTCCAAACAGCTGTTGGTTTAGGATGACCAAACCACGCGGCAGCTAGACAGAGTTCTTGTCCGGCCTAAAGTTCGAAGGCATACATAGTCTCATCATTTCGGGGAAGTTAATTTTGGTAAGCTAGCAATCCAGCTACACCTAGTTTAACCAAAAAGAAAATTGTCCAGAAAAACTGATGACACACAATATCCCAAGGTTGCGTTGAAGTTTCATAAGATATTCCTAGTCGAATGGACTGGAAAAGTGCCAACTTCTTGTGAGATATACCTTTAACGTAACATCTTTCATTGCGTTGAAGTTTCATAAGATATCCCTAGTCGAATGGACTGGAAAAGTGCCAACTTCTTGTGAGATATACCTTTAACGTAACATCTTTCAGCCCACCAACACCGGAACCAGGACCGCCTACTCCCTCTTCTGGGGTACATATCCTTGGAGCTTCTGGGGTATCTTGTGCACTCAGAACAGCAGTTGGCTTTGTTGGTTCACCAGGTCCCTCCTCGTTGACAGCCCGAACACGGAATTGTCCGGTCTCTCCTTCTTTCATTGGCACAAATGCGCAGGTGTCCGCCGTGTTAAGGACTGGGACCCATTCATCGTTCTCGTTCTTCTTTTCTACTACATATCCGGTAACGGGTGCACCACCATCCCGTCGCGGTTTATTCCAAGACAGTTTTGCCCCGTTCTTCGTGACTCTGTCAACGTTAAGGTTTTCCGGGGATCCAGGAGGATCTGAGAAAAATTACAGAAAAGTCATGGCGAATTCAGGATAACCACACACATATTAGAGCCTACAGTTCCTGGTCGGCACAAAACATGTAACCCGCTATTCTTATTCGGAATTGTGGTCATCTCCTGCTTTCAGTTAAATGAGTTAAATGGTTCGAAGCCTACCTCTACATCTCGACTTCTTCTGCCTAGACTTGGGCAACCTGGCACTATCCCAGCTCCCATACTTCCGTCTGGTGGCACGGTAGCTAGACATCGAAAGGATGATACAGCTGAACGGTCTCTGTGTCGCAGACAAATGAGCAAAGTACTTACACACTTGTCCTCTTGGCTTAATTTGGCTGACAGACTAATGAACACCGAATACTCACATGTGGGATCCTTGACTGTGTGCGGAGCGGTTGCTTTGGAAGGTTCTCCAGGACCGGCGTCATTCACTGCACTGACGCGAAATTCGTAGGTTTGACCCTCATCAACATTGGTGATCTTTGCGGTTGTTCCCTGAACGATATTCGGAGTGGCTTTACGCCATTCTCCACCAGGAATACGACGTTCAACCAGATATCCTTCAGGAAAGAAGAAGTAGGTAGGCACAACTTATCACCAGTTTCTGTCAGTTACAGCAAAACAGATGCGAATCTGTTCATTACTTCAAACGGCAAAACTTCTCGACTGATGATGCCAAGATCCAAAGATTTTTGAGGGCAAGTACTAGCTGCCTTTTTCAATTGACATTACTTATTAAGTCAGATCTCAATATCTCCTCCTCGAACACCAGTTATAAAGCCAATCAGATCCACTCACCTTTGATTGGATTTCCACCATCGTCCTTGGGTGGTTTCCAGTTCAAAGTGACAGAATGCCGGTCAAATTCATCAATCTTTAGATTCTCTGGTGCACCGGGCGGATCTAAACCGAGGAAGGCATATGAGATTTAGCAGAAGCTGCATCGTTCTACATCTTAGATACTGCATAGCAATATCACAACTGTGGGAGCACATTCAGTAGCGCATAGTGTGTAGCCAACATAACTTTTGGAAAATCATGTACATTTGAGTAGTACATTCGGAGTAGTACTTAGCTTTGTGTTCAACACACCAAAATTCACATACCATAAGGGTTCTTTGCCAGAATCGGAGTCTTGGTTTCTGCATAGTCGCTCATGCCCATTTGGTTGATGGCAGCCACGCGGAACCTGTACTGTTTACCCTTGACCAAATTGCGAACCAGAATCGAGTTATCCGATACCGAACCGGATACTCGTTCCCAGGTACCAATGGTGGCGTCGCATCGTTCTACCTGGTAGTCTGCGAAAACAAATGGGATTTTTAAAGTGAGCACAACAGGCTGCTTCGTACAGTGGCATTGAATAAAATTGTTAGAAAATCCTGTACACACCACGAGGCTTTCGGAATTGGCATGATATCGCCTCGGAATGCATCGGAGCACATCAGCCTGAGTCATGCTATTCATCGGATAGCTGTAAAACATCTGCGAATAGTCGTACTCACCCGTGATTGGACAGCCTCCATCATCCTTCGGTGGCTTCCAAACAACTTTACATCTGTCTTCGTAGACATCAATCGCGTCAACGTCTTGCGGTGGACTTGGTTTGTCTGAAAGTGAATATGAAACGCCGATTGGTGAGCCACATTTGTTTGACGTCTTTCTTTGCGCAGAAATGCAACTGGTTAATATGGGAATCCCATAGATAGTGGCAACAATCACATTGCTTCAACTGAAGTTGCACAACCAACTGCATCACTTAGCGACTTACCCATAACAACAACCTTAATAATAGCCTCATCTTGACCGTAATCGTTGGCCAACTTCAGTTTGTAAAGACCGGAATCACCTCGTACAGTTCGTGGAATGTCCACACAGGTCCGCTCTTCTGTATCATCCACCTGTGCATTGCTGGGTAGCGGTGAGTCATCTTTGGTCCATGTGACCGTCGGTTTTGGAGCTCCGGTGATTGGCACTGGCATATGCAACGGCTCTCCTGCTCGGAGCCGAATTTCCTGATTCAGTCCCAATGGAAGTTCTTTGAGGGATAATTTGGGAGCCTCTGTTGGTACACAAACAGACAGAATTAGGAATATGGAACCAGGTACAACGCGATATGGATATTACCGCTTGATTTTAGTCAAACCCATAAATCAGAATGACAGAGACAAGTGAATGTCCTAAAGCAAGGTCAGGCCAAGTGAAAGTTAAGCCACTGACTTGATTACCTAAAAACATAGTTTCGAGGCTCATGACACGACTACAATCAGTTATCCCAACGAAAGCTAGCGTGATCCGGTGGAAATTCGTCACATAGATAGTTTTAACGGATTCAAATCAGAAGAAAATCATGGGGTTTTAGCCCACAAGAAAGCGCCTAGTTTTCTTACCTCGACTTGGTTTTGCCACAACATTTTCACTTGGAGGACTGGGATCTCCGGGGCCAGCTGCATTTACAGCAATGACTCTATATTGATATTCTTTGCCTTCGCGCACCCCATCGTCAGTGAATTCTCGCTCAGACTGTGGTGCTTTGGTCAGTCGCAACCAGCGTTGGCCTTTAGGCTCCTTTCTTTCAACATGATACCCTGTAACCGGAGCACCCCCATCATCCTCTGGCGGTTCCCATTTGATATCTATTCGGTTTCGGTCGTGATCCACAATTTCCGGCTTTTCTGGAGGTCCGGGTTTTTCTGAAAAGAATTGAAAAAAATAGATGACTAGGTCTGTCTACCGAATCCGTAAGTGAAGTGGGTTTGTTTACCGCTACCTACGACCGGTTGGACGGTGGATCGACCTCTTGATTGTTTCGAATCCTATGAACGAAACGGAGCGTTATCGTGTTACAAGTGTTATTCAATGAGACTTGATGGCGAATCTACTGCAATTTCCTCTAACCCGTGCCATTTCGGATACAATCGTCAGTTTGCAGGGCTTATTAGTGTTTTTCAGGCCTCGCCGGTTAAACCGGTTCCCTCCGAACGACGTGGTCCTCAGTTTGATGTAAAAAGCTGTACTGAATGTGGAATCGTCCAGAAGAAAACTTATTTCCACTCTGTTTGACGCGTTCCGTGTCTCTTACAAACTTGTGCACTCGATGACTTTTGTAACAGAATTCAAGTTAGCAAAAGTGTTCTTGACTTGTTCATAGAAGAACTTTTGTCAGGGTGTATTAAATGGCTCACAACGGTAGTAACAGTAATAATCCTGTCATGAATATAAGTTTAAGTAAAATGCAGAAAAGCTACGTGCAACAGAACGGTGGATTCTAGTAGACTCATAGTTTGTAACAGAGCTTTTATGACACAAGAGAAGTGTGAAAATCGGAGGGGATGTAGAGATGTAAAATTACACGTAAATTTCATCCTACTAGGAAGCATAGTTGAGAACAGAAGCGCCATCATCGAGGTGTGGTGCTATATAGTTAAACGAAGTATAACCAAAAAATAAGACTGCTGGGCGAATGGATTTAAATCACGAGTGGAGCTGGAAGTGGAAAAAAGCCGGCACCCAACAGGATCATAATCGCAATGTTTTCAGGGGTATTCGCTAATGTTTGATAGCCTCCGAAAGTCTACTTCAAGGACCAAAATAGGTCAAATCGTTTTTTCTCACACACCCTGGAGAATGCATCTTTAGAACAAGGAATCCGGTCACGAGGTGTAAAGGTCCACAAAAGCCCAAGACAAGGTGGTTTACAACACAGGCGTCTGTATGACAAAAGCATTCCGTTTTATCCAGAGAGATTCGTTATTTTTGCGATGGCGGTGTTTCGCGTGCCAACCACAAGACTTTCCGTCACATTATGCAATAAATATAAATAGGCACAAATCGTTGACTGATAAAGACATACCGTATGGATTTTTGGCAATCGTTTCTGCCTCTGTTTCTAGTGGTTCACTCGTGCCTTGGCTGGAAACAGCCATCACGCGGAAATGGTATGGTTGGCCCTCCTCCAGTTTTTGTGCCACAACCGACGTACCTTTGGAAACTTCAGCGACTGGCTCCCAGCGTCGTCTGTTTGGATTCATTTTTTCCACCACATAATGACTAAATATAGGGATGGAGAAATACATGGTAAGACCTACAAAAAACAAGTGAGTTTCAAGTGAGTTTCAAACTGGCTGCAAGACGAAAAACAGACGGATTCCTGTTGACTTGCAGCAGTTTTTAATTAACGTGTCTGAAAACGCACTTTGCCCACTAGTCCTGTTTGGTTCCACTCTCCATGGAAGTCTAGTGTGAAGGATACCGTACAAGTGCGTTGAGCGTTTCGTGAAGTAGTCTATTCTGAATCAACACACTAGTCAAGTTGGAAATGAAACCACTCACTCATTGAGCTCACGGTTGCTAAGCCATCTACAGAATGGAAAGCCAGGACGCTACCCAGGACAGAACTAAATGCGAAGTCGGCAACGTTCGGTCTGATCTTAAAAATACATTGGACATCACTGAGTGGTCGAAAGTCCCGACAGTCAAAACTGTCTTCGGTCCTATTTGACCTGACCGTTCCAAACAGGATAAATTCTTTAGCTCCTAAACCTGTAGTACATAGGAATTTTCAAGCTAACACAGCATCGGCACGAGTCCCTCTATGGTTTGATGCCCATAGACTCTTGTATTTTGGTATAAATTTGATCACCATGGCTCAGTGGCCTAAATAATGAAATAAACCCCAATACAATTGAACGGCGTTTTCTACCAGTCAAATATATTTTGTTGTGTAGGATTTACAGGACAGTGAAAGAATGGAAGCAAGTAATATTTATTTTGTACAACAGATCTAGAGCTACACATTTCGATGGTACTTAGTACTCGTGAGTAGCCCACCAGAAATTCAGCTCCTAAAGTCATTGAAGAGACTGTTGCATAACTAGCCATTAAAGATAAACATCATAGTCCCAATTACCTGGACAAACCCCAACGTCTCAGCAGGACCAAAATGGCATGAGCAAAAGTGATTATTTCGATATCTGCTCTCCTGGCTCACATATACATAACAACTTAATAAAATAATAGTGATTTTGTCTGTCTATCTTCCCATATCGCTATGAATTTGTTATATCTGCTGCTGACCCGCTCCAGTGCCTAGTGTCGGAGAGAAAAAGACTCGCGGAAGGGAACGCAATAGCTATATTCCAACAAAGTGGGTGTGAGAGCGCGAGTGCGTGCAAGTGCGAAAAGTACAACGGCCTCAAGCTTTTTATTGGAAGGACACTGTCTGAACTTAGTCCAATGCTGACGCACACGGTCTGGCTGCGACGTGCTGCATATCGCGGGGGCGTTGTCTGACCTTGATCAACGCTAACTCGCGCTGTCTGGGTTTGATACAAGGCTGTGACGCGCTGCATATTGAGGAGGCGTTGTCTATCTGGTTAACACTTAGCGGACCTGAGGGTCTCGGTAGATTTCGGGCATTCGGTGGTTGCTTTCAGGAAGCTGACCTTCCTGATAGAATCAATAAGCAGCTCAGAAGGATTATCTTACTGAACATGTGAAGCTTCCTTCTGCGAAGGCGCCACTCTAGGAGTCAGTCAGTACTTGACCATGTGATATGATGTCCGTATTGAGAAATGAGTGACGAGATGTTCTGTCTAAGTGAGAGCTGATCACACTGCTAATCAACCACTCGTAGCCAAACGGCTAAGTGTTTAGCCACTGGCCGGAAGGTTGCGAGTTCGAAACTCTGAGTTTTGTGAGGTGCGCACTGGTGATGATCCTTAATGAAGATGAAATATCTGTACATTGCTTCTCGGCCTTTCAACATACAATGGCTTCACTGACAAGGTGAAAACCTCTATTGCCTATTCAGTTTTGGCCAATCACTGGCCTGTGCTCACCAAAATAGAAGGTATATTTTTTCGTCGCACGTATCTCATCTCGATAACGATGTGAATGCTGACCACATTTAGGTACACCTATGTACACTGCAGTTTACTCTTTTTGATCACAGTTTTTGGGAGTGCACACGAAAACACTGAATGTTGTTCGCTATTTGTGTACCATAAGATAAACATTGAAAGCTTGGCAGCTTGCACGCAGGCTGTTTGATAAACAAAGAAATTTAGCCGTGAATCAGCATAACCCAGTACTGCACTCGCAACTGCTTTTAACTGTCGATCGATAACTTCAGACAAACAACAAAATTTCCTACTTTGTTTTATTCTTCAGTAAATGCCCTTTGAAAATGTCTTCCGAAATGATTTTAAATCTTATTATTTACCACATGTCAAATGTTGAAATGAATCCTCTGAAAAGGCACCACATCCTTTGGGAATCCACTATCTTCACTGGGCAAAACATACTGTATCCACTCTCAGGACAGGCGGCAATCAGAAGGGACCCATGTGATGCACGCTCTTGTCACACTGCCTCGAGAGAAACTGCGAAATTATCAGACTGAAAGACATAATTACGTCAAAGCCTGGGGATCATACTTACGTTATAGGTGTACCACCATCATCTTCGGGTGGTTTCCAAGATAGTGTAGCTGAGTTCTTTGTCACATCAGTAACTTCTAGGGGACCGATCGGTTTTGATGGTTTGCCAAGTGCTACAACTTCAATGCTTGCTTGATCCTCACCGACACAATTAAAGACTCGAAGTGTGTACAGTGCGGTGTCTTTTCTTTGAGCCGAGACGATTTTGAGATGAGCTGAACGTTCTTTGAACTCAAGTTTGATATTTTCCGTTGTCTCAAGGACCTTGATCGAAGAGAAGTAGATGGTCGTGTTATCTAAAAGCTCCTTGAAATGGCGGACATCGACACATGTGTAGACATTAGCATGGGAAGCGTCAAAAACCTCCACCAAAGCCTCAAGCAGTTAGAATACAAAATCAACATCAGCTTTACTCATAAACATCGAGTGAGTGCTATTCACAAGAGGTGGACCAAAATATCACCCATTCACCGAGAGTGGGCATAGTCACAGGCACTCACCTTTGATTCGATTGACCAGGTAGCCTCTGGATCTGGTTCACCACGATAAGTCAGGTCCAGCGTAACCGATTCGCCAACCTTTACTTTGATCGGTTTTATATTGGTCTTGATTATGAAGGGTTTTACTGCGATTTAAGTTCAAAGAGGAAGAGAGGAAATTGAAGAGCATATGCCACATAATTAAGTGACTGGCTGGACAGCTTAACTAGACCTTGATTAAATGATTAGTTTGAGATTGCAATATGAGGCAGTCGTTGGTGAAATAGTATGCATCAGTGATCAGCCGGCAGGAGAGAGTCCTGCCTCACTTTAAACCAGAGTGCTGGTGAGAAATACCAACAAAAAAGAAGGGATATTTAAGAGGGAATAGATTGGACGACTTTTTCTACTAGCAGTGTATAGTTCTAGGAAAACTTACATAGTCTGGGTTTCGCAATCATCGGTTTTGTGGTCCCACTAGGCTCTGATTTGCCAGCCTTGTTTACGGCGACCACGCGGAACTCATACTCCTCGTTCTCCGTCAGGGGTACTTTGGCTGTTGTAGGTTGCACTTCTTTCAAGGTTTCCCATTTGTTCTTCGATTTTGTCTTGGCTTCAACAATATACTTTGTCACAGGTGCGCCATTGTCACGACGTGGTGGTATCCACCTAAGTTCTGCCCAATCCTTGTCCCAATCTTCAAGCTGCACTCCAGAAGTGGAACAATAATGGGATGGATAATTAAGAAGACCAGCAGTTGCGGGGCGCATAGAAACCCAGTCCATCGAATATACATATATATGTATATAAAATCTCCAAATGTATCATTCATAGGGCCATATGAGGTGCCATTGTCAGTGGGCACTTACCCAAATGGATATATGTGCTGGATCCTAGGAAAGTTTTCAAAGCCAAAGTGGTCAATAGTGTCACATTAAAAATCCTGCTTCATCCATCTGGTGAGACTCAGCAAAGATGAAACTTTTACTGGACAGCTGAACACATTCAGTCGGCTGAACTTGAAGTGGCTGGTAGATGAGACTGAAAAGTGTTCCTAGGTCGGTACAAACTTCAAGTCGAGAATAAACACCAGTATTAATTGCCTATCCTGCAGCGTGCCGTTAGTAGATTAAATACACTGGAGGCACTACAACTAGCGTAATTTATCATCAACAAGCAACAAGTGCACCTTAGCTCCCCATATTTCCATGCATCACTGTATGAAAACATTGTTCGGATACCACACTAACCCGACAACATATATGTTGACATTAGGCGGGGGCTAATAGCCCTTCTTGACATTGCTTGTCCAGCCATGTAACCGAGAGTAAACCAGCCCATCTTGGCTCTGATCAGTCAACCTCAAAAGCCAGGGCACTCTGCAGCCCATGCCACTTACCAATTCACCTGCACTTGCGGTGAACATATTGCCTTTGCTCTCAAAGTATGCATGAGCACATCAGAATAACTTATACGCGCTTGGAAGAAGGGTTGTCTAGTTGTCAGCCTACAACCCGTAATGTAACACAATCGACTGCAAAACACATAGTGACCTCAAATCATTCCGTCGTCTCCAGAGAATCATTAACTTTTCCGTTCCACACTCGAACCGCTCACACACAAGCAGTCAGCGAGGCAATATTGATTAGACTGAGACGGACTATCTCGCGTGCACGGTTGGTATCGGCTCAATACATCTGCCTACTATGGCACTGAACTCGGACTAGCCCTTCCCAGTTAAACTGCCTCCATGTATTTGTCATTCTTGTTACCATGTTCCAAACAGTAAGTATGTTCGGTTTGGACGACTGGTGAAACTAAAAGGTGTCGTAACATCTCAGCAGTTGTATCCTCTCGCAGTTTTGATTAATGACAAACGGCGTAAAATGGGTTTATCTGGCTACAAACATTGCTCCCCAGAATGTGTCCGGGGGCAACAATCTGGCAAGCTAGCAGCAACATTTCGTATGATACTCACCGTTAGTCCGGTTGGCGCGTCCGGAGGATCGCAGATGTCTCTGGCCAAGGTTTCTTTTTCGGTTTCCAGATTGTCACTTTCTCCTTCATCGTTCACGGCCCGAACACGGAATTTATACTTCTTTCCCTCCTCCAAGGCAACATCACATTTTGGTGTTTTGGCATTTTTCACCAGTTTCCATGTACCGTCTTCTGTGTCCATCTTCTCTACTACATAGTGCTTGATAGGCTTCCCGCCATCATCATCTGGCGGGTCCCATTCCAGAGTGCATTTATTTGCTGACAGACTAGTCAGCAGTAGAGGGCCACGTGGCTTGCTCGGTCGATCTGTTGACGGTACAGAAATGAGCAAACAATGGAGGAAAATAGTATACGTATAACCAATGATGCAAAGACGTCATGCAAGTCTTGGTAAGATATCATCGCTTATCCCTCTGCACCGCTCAAACTGAAGTCGTCTCGAAAGTAAACAAGCGATGAGTCGATGCGAATTTGAGGTGCCCTGAAGAACATTCAGTCTGTGGCAGTGAATCCCTTCACAAAGCGTTCAGTTTATGTGAAAAGGTGTGGGTTGAATGTGAAAAATACTCGCGAAGAACTGAGCATAAATTTGGGGATTCAAAGATAAGATGCGACCCGTAAGAGTACTTGTATATTTTGTTGAGAAAATCATATTCAGGGAACGTTCTTCATCGGTGAGTTTAGGGAATTACCAGCGCATTTCTCACTGATTTACTTGCAGAGATTAGTGTGCATTTAACCAGGTCATACTACAAAGTACGAAGTAGGCTCCTCTTTACTTTTGGCCCACGCAAGAACTTCATATATGCGGATTTTGAATGATCAGATTTAAGTCTGATCTGGTTCGAAGCCGCAAGGAAGATCCCCTGAACACAATGGCACTAGCACTGCTAAACTCTACCCTAGAATTGATACACAAACAGACATTCGTAACCTTAAGAATATGAAGATCTCCAAGTCATGTTTTCGTATTAAGCAAGGCACTATTTACCCTAATCAAAATTTGAGCAGCTCCTCTTTACCGGTCGACCTGGCCATGGCTCAAAATCTTTTTACCCCATGTGCAGTGATTCTGTTTTAGAGAAATCCCCTATTAAAGGAAACTATCACATGAAAGAACGATTCCCCTTAATCTGTATTTTCTTTCTACACGAGAGAACGCTGGACCAAAACCCAACCGGTAGAAGTAGGGCTCGGTATGGATTGTGTTTGAATACCGTCCGCTCTAGAACTCAGTGCAGGGCGGCACTATCAATTTTGGACAGTGGTCGGTGTGCAAACAGTTAAACAATTCTTGCTGATTTAGAATCGACTGTAATTCTTCTTCTTTTGGAAGAGTCAAAACGTGAATTATACAACCTGTTTCTCAAATGGTTTGCATTGCTGGTAGTATGAGAGTTGGAAATCTTCAGGGCCCGCGCTAGAACTCAGTGCAGGGCGGCATTATCAACTTTGGACAAAGTGGTCGGTGTGCAAACAGTTAAACAACTCTTACTGATTTAGAATCAACTGTAACTCTTCTGACGCGGTTCTTCTCTTGGAAGAGTCAAACGTGAATTATACAACCTGTTTCTCAAATGGCCTGCATTGCTGGTAGTGTGAGGAGGGTTGTAAATCCTCATCCGAGCGACCGAGAGGCATTGTACAGCTGTTTCATCTTTATGGGAATCATCATCAGTGTGCATACGCAAGTAAGTTTCGCATCCCCGACCTTCAGGCCGGTAGTTTGAACACCTAACCCTCCGGCCGATCAGTAGTGTGGTGAACTCGCAGTTAGACAGGATATAGCGCCACTCATCCTTCACTACTGAACCAAGAGTCAGTAGCGTTTTGCAAGTGTTGAAAGCAGCCAGACTACTTTGCTGTCTGAAGTTGGCCTCAAGGATTTCATTAGGAAATCTGGCAAGAAAGGTAAATAGTCGCCCCCTAACCAGAATGTTTCACATACTGCATGCTGGACAGAATGTGATTTCAGACAACTGAATGTGCTGCACCAGGCCGTCTCATGTTTCAGTCGCTGTGATAATAGGGATATCGTGATACATGTATATGTATAATGCACTACTGAAAATCGTAGCGACTGGAACATGAGGCGGCCTGGTGCAGCACATTCAGTTGCCCTGGAATCATCACAAACGGGAGATTCAGCTGGGTCCCAGGTGGGTCTCTCGAAAAACCAAAGAAAAACCAATTAGTTTGCAAAAGAAGGTATTTCGCTAAACCACAGTTTAATGGCATATCATTTCCGACTTGTGGATGAAAACCATCGTTTAGCTTCCTGTGGTACTTTCCACTTCTGTGTGACTGAGTTAACTTCGCCTGATTTCATTGTTCAGACCACATTTGGTGGTGTAAATAGTTTGCAGAGAACCCCCGTTTCTCCTAATTAACGTTACTCATGCTCACCATTACCAGAAGACAGAGACCTCCTTTGTTGCCACTGTTGGTTCCCAATAATCGTGTGGAAAGTTTGTGACGCAGTGGAATGACGAACAACTGTGTATTCTGCCGAAATGCAAGCAAAGGAGACTCAGTAGAGGTCAAACCACTTAGCCGCGCAATACGAGCCTCATCAAAATTATAAGAATTCACTGACGAATAACCCTAGTGATATATAGTGCATCGCCACTCCAGAAACAACGTTATCGTATGTCAGGAAACACAAGAATTTGCAGATTCTGATGCTTCGAAGGCCGCATCAGTTGCTTCAAACACTATACAGAGAGAAGAAGGACCAACTACTTTTTAAGAAGATTCCTTTACATGACAATGGGATTTTCGCAGATGTCTCCTACGAAATGAAAATCGCTGTTTGTACCGAAAAGCAGTTCGCTAGGGAATGTTTTTAAAGGTCTTAGTAATAATTACCTCGGGGAAAACTCAGTGTTCAAGAGCGGTTTTTCTAAATGGAAGGTCCGAGGTTCAAACTCAACCTCGGTNGCGACGAACTAACCTCGGCATCACGACCTCTCTTGTCTGGGCTTGGGCACTCAGGCAGTATCACAGCTTTCGTGTTTCCCTCAGGTAGCATGGCAACTAGACAGTAAAACTGTGTTACAGCTGAACGATTATTTATTATTTTGGTATGAGGATTCCATGGGCACATGCGAATTTAATGATTATGTGGAGATTATGTCACAGAAGGCCCAACTGTATGCACATGAGCCAGATGTTTTAGTCACAGCCCTGGGCGTCCACATGCAGCGGTGAGCAGAACACCCAGCCAAACTGACTCAGGAATGGAACGTTCTTCAGTGAGAGCATTAGTCAACACCGTAGCAGAAGATAGACAAGGAGGCTTTTTCAGAGAAGTGGTCTGAAGGAGAGTTCGGTGACTCGGCAGTTCCTGTACTTTCTCAACGTTAACGTGACTCCATATCAGAAAGGCGTGTCTTGGCATCAGTTAAAAGATGTCGTGATAGAAACTGCAATATGTACTGATACGGTTTTCAAAATGACTCAGGATCAAAATGGTGTCCCCGTGTCGAATTAAGGTGACCAAAGACCTTTATAATTACCGCGCATGCAATCATACGCGTTCACTGTGCTTATCTTTCAGGTCTCAATCTATTCAGACGGTTGGTTATCGATACATCCAATGGATGCACATGAAACCCTCAAGTGCGGCCCACGAGAGACTACACTGTTTAGTCTGCCGATCAGTAAGCGTCATCTGCTGTCTGACCGATGCCAAATAAGCAGTACAGACTTGGAAGGCGCCTGGGACCAATGCCTGCATAATTAAATCCCATTTAGAGTGGTAACAGGAGAAACATGGCTAGTCAAGCTTCGGAACAATCAGGTCGCAGTGGAACATTCATGCAGTACTGCGAAGCTTCAAGAAACTGTTAGTCTGAAGGAGTTGAAAGCACCCTATTTGTAGATGCTGTGGTCCGTTGTTGATGCTTGTTTAATCTCATCCTTCACTTATTTTTTCGAACAAAATAATAAGAAATTGTGGAATTCTCATTCCGGAACAGTTGAACACAGGCAGTCTGTCAGCGGGATTCCAAAGCAAAAGTCAGGCTGGAGAAACTTCTCGAACAAGCATGCCTCTCCTATATGAACGAGAGCATGTATGTCGAATTAGCGTATATGGCAGTCGTCAGCACAAGTTGTGTGACAGCTAACTTGTGAAAATGACTGTCAACCCCATGCCTTTATGAAAATTTTCGAAACGGAGACGGATATCGGCGCCTAAGTAGATATTTTCCCAAAGTTGTTATACACACTCTAATATGATGTTACTATAAACAACAGCTTTACTTATTACCAGAAATACAGAAAACCTACCAAAGACATTCACTTCCAGAGGAACCGACAATTCGCCCGATTCATTCTTCAGTTTGATCTCATATTTGCCCACGTCCGTCCGCTGTGCGTCCTCTAAAACCAGTTTAACCGTATTGTCTTTAACGACAGGCTTGAGGTTGATTTTCTCTGAAACCGGCACTCCGTTACAGAACAAACTGACGGTTGGAATCGGGAAGCCTACAGAAGATGAGTGGAAAGGGGAAGATTGTGAGAACTCTTCACAGTGTGTACATAAGATCCACTCTGATATCTAGTCCTAAGTTGGTATTAGTAATGGTGAGAGTTCCCCTGAGGATGAGACCTTCCAGCGTAACAGATTTTAGAATGCGACCAATGGTTGTGAACAAAAATACCACATATGTAATCTCTCTTAGTCCGAGGCATTGAATCACCCATGAGTAGTGCTAATGTGTTCGTGAAATATAGTCATGAAAGAATTGTTGAGTGACACATTCACTTAATCAATAGGATCTGGTGTTTGTCAGTCCAAAAGGCATCGATAAACGAGCAAAACCATTGTCCAGTTCAAAATCGAATGCTTTATGTCATCCCATCACAATGCATGCGCCAATCATACTTAAGTCTGACACTATTTTCGCCTTCTTTACTGACGGTGCCCATGAAAGTACAAAATTGTTCAACAATCCCAGTACATACCTTTGAAGGGGAAGGCTGTCATAAATGACTGTCCCTTTTTCAAGTTTGCAACGTTTTTGAAGTTGCTCAAATCCGCAGTGGGCGGCTTGTCGCATTCTTGCACCTGGTTGAAGGGAAGAGGCGATCGGTTTTAGAAATGACTATTTACTGATTTATCGGTGTCTGTTATTATCCTTTATCATTATTATTAACGGTGGTTGTGCGCACACAAAAATAAAATAAAACAGCATAAGCCATTGTGGCGGACAGCCGGATCGGGTAGGTCAGTTGCTAGCGCGGTGCTCCTCCACTAGTCATGTGACCAGTTCCAATGCCGCTTTTAGGTTACTCTACTAGGCGCTGATCTATCTACGGGTCACGGATAGAGCAGTTGCGAGCCTCTCATGCAGCTCAAGTCTACACACCCAGGAAGCGTTCGTAGGCGTATTGAGACTTCCATGCTCTGTTCATGTAACCACTGGCTATTTAAGACATCCCATCGCGATATTAACGGTTTTGACGCTTTTAATCACGAATTTCACCCTTATCTTCGTTTTACTTGTATGTCATGTTCATTTCTGATTTTTGTCAACCCTTGATCTGTATCAACCAAAAGAAGAGATCGCAAAAATATTGATGTTTATCAACCCTGAATATTATACACATATCGCTACCAGTAATTTCTGTTTCCTTGGACGTGTAATGGACACACCACCTATATATTGTTGTTATTTATTTTTGACGGCAATTCGACTAAGACACATTTCTGAAGGATATGGAAGTTATCGGCAATATTATTTCGAGGATACCTGTGGAGCGATGGGCCATATCAACTACGTGACTAGATCATCGTTGTCACCTCAAAATTGGGTGGGCGTAGATGGCATTGCTCTGACCACACCCGGGAAAGAAGCACTTCGAGTTTTCTCATATTTGTTGAGTTTGTAGTTTGATTCATTTGAGATAATTCCGAACAAATTCTGCCCACTCGTGTGGCAGGTATTCCGAGAGTGAGTATATTTGCGTATGTGAAGATGCTAAACGCTAGAATGAGCTATTTTACCAAACAGGCAATCGACTCCGGTAAAACGTCAACAGAAATCCAACAGACATATTTGGCATTTCAATTTGAGATCCCATTTTCGCAGGCGAATTAGCACCTTTTCTGCTTCGAGTTGTTTTAAATTTCGAGTAATGTCGTTGAAGTTTGAGAATCGTGACTTTGGTTGCGCCTAAACGGAAATGCTGGAACCAATTAATCACGATTGTAGTTTAGTAAATGTCTCTTCATTTGGTTCACATCTGGCCGAAACAAGCCTTGTCACGGGCTACCGGCATACCGGCCATTCCAGCCGTATAAAACAAAACACAACACCCTGTTCTTCATGGGTGTAAGATGTAAGATCCTTTCTACACACGACAAACAACAGCTAAGTCAATGTCTTCAGACACCATGGCGTTCCATTTTAGGCGAATGTAATATTTGTGTGAGTTGGTTTCTTTTCACAGGACATAGATGTAACCAACTCTAAAATCTAGACTATGTTGAAATTGTGTAAATCAAGGTCATTTCTAGCCAGTGGCTGAGGGGGATGTACACTGAGAAAATGTGAATGCGTCAATAAACCTACCTCTAATGTTCCTTTGGTTTCATGGTTACCGATTTTGCAAGAATACAAGCCAGTGTCATCCATTTCCAAATATTGAAAAATAAGATATAGCGATCCCTCAATTTCCTGGGCGGACACACGATCGTTCATTTGAATTGGTTCTCCATTTTTGAACCAGTAAACCGGATACTTCTTAGGATTGAACGCACGACATTCCAGTTCTTTTCGTTTTGTTTCGATACCTTTGGTATCGATTAGATTTAAACGAAATTCGACATCCGCTGAAACACGAGTGCGAGATAACCACACATTGACGATTGTATGGAAAATAGCTGGATACAAATACTATACGGTTTTCGTTGGTATACTCGCATGATTCTATGTAACCAGGGCTAAGTGGAGCAAATTTTGCTGTCTGAGAATGTCGTTTAAATTACTGGTGTCATGTCACAGGTTTATGCTCAAATCCTGATATCTGTCAGCAGATATCTTTTTAAACAAGACCGTTTACATTGTCAAACAAGATTAGATTTGCATAAACACTATTATCAGAAATCAACGCGTTACACAAAAATGCTTCACAGGTATGTAAAGCGTCATCAGAATATAATTTTTTCATCCTGGCTCAATGGATACCGCTGAATATGTCTTTATACAAATTAGATGAATCGGGTCTACTTTTTCATGAGTAATTTACTGTCAAGCAACCCTAGAATGAACACTGTTCAAGACGTTGAACGTTTCCGTTAGTGGATAGATTTAGCTTTCCGAAACAACCCAAAGATCAAGGAACGTACATGTCATATAATACTGTGCCACATTATATGCTATTATAAACGAAAGATTCATTTGTGTCTCCCGTTCACACTGTCTCTATTTGCAAAACTAATGTTTTTGGTCCAAAAACAGTGTCTGCCGGTGATGTGGTTTACACCAGTGTCTAGTGCAGTAGAGATATTGGTGTCCTTGTGTGACTGAGCAAATGAAGCAGAGTCGTTTGGGTAGAGAGGATTCAATTCCAACTGAAGAGACACCTTGAGACTGAAGCCGTTACGCTGTTTTCTGCAACTTTCCATTGTACTTAGCGGCAGTTACCTAACTGTTAAACGAGCGAAGCGTACAACGCTTGAAAGCAACGAATGCATTCTGTTAAAAATGAAGCATTTTCTTGGCCTTGCTTATCCGGCACTCCAGAAGAATTCAAACTCATCATTCCTAAGGGGAATGTAAGAGCAAGTTAAGTGCCTAAATTTAAGTGTTCGTGTTTGGTAAAAAAGTTTTTGGGGCTGTTATCAACTGAGTAGACAAATACTGGCTTGATGTTTTGTTCGGACTGTTTGATGAGTGGTACGTTTGTAGTAAGTGGAGAAGGCAGGAGGAAAAAACTCACGTTTCACTGTCAGATGACACATAGTAGTCTTTTTGGCAACTTTGCAGACGTAATCACCTTCGTCTTCACACAGCAGCTTCTTAATTTTCAAAATGCGTTTTACTCGCTGCTCACTCAGGATTTCATATTTGTCACCGGCAGTAATTGGCTGTGGAAAGATGGTTTTGACAAGAACAAAGGTAACTCATTCTCTCACTACAAATGCGAAAAAATGAAGCACAAAACACAGGGAGAAACACTGTTTTTCAAAAAGTCGTATTTCAATAAGGGAATGATTATGACATACTCCTGACGATGCACTATGGGGTTCTGTTTCTAGGGTTGAGCTAGGTGATCTATTGTCCACCATAAAATGCTGCAAGCAGTTCGGTTTTATCGGTCCACATACAGACCTAGATACAGTGACTGAGCTTTGTAAGAGCAGATGATATGCGGCGTAACCTCAGGTATGAGATAAGTGGGAGTGGCTCCAACTCTGCGATGGTCACTGGGCAGTTTGATTTGTACTGTCCTAATACGGAGCATGCATATAGACTTGAATGTGGTCTATGGCCAGTCGAAGTCTTGTTCGATGAAAATATGAGTCTTTCCAAGACAGTGTTTACTGTTCTAGTAATTTTATAGCTATATCATTAGATGAATTAGGATTAGCCAGTCAGTCCATTCAGCGTTGTCAAAAATCCCAAAGCAAACTTGAAAAGGGGTGGTACCGGTGCGATCGACTGAGCCGAGGTAATGTTCGCGAAAGCAGAGCTGCCGCTACTATGTACGCTTTATAGGCTCCTGAAACACGTGTTTGAATGAACAGAACAATGCAGTTTCCAAAGTGAGCCTCCGAATACCTCATCGCATCACAAGTTCGGGTCCCAACAGGTTATCTAGTACGGGAACTAAACCTGTCAGATGTAACCCCAATATGGTGAAACCAGTTGTGAACTGTTTATCAAGTTTTACTTATTTTCAATGCTCTATCCTCATTGGTTATTAACCTGGCGGACCTTAATTACAGTCACTTTTAATATGACTGTTCTAGATCTTCCTAGGAAATGATGAGAAATTAATTTATAATAAATCGGGAGGCTTTTGGGCGCTAGAATCTTACCTTTTCATTTCTGAACCAGCTCACTTCAGCATCACGATCGGATACTTCACATTCCAATTTGACCACTTCATCGTTTTCGTAGCATTGCTGCGCTTTGAGCTCGCGGGTGAAATACCAGTCGGGATCTTCCACAGCGATGTCAATGTAGGTTTCATCACCCTCTACCATGCAGCAATACTCTCCTTCTTGTTCCGGTTTGGCTCGAACTATCCGCAAAATGCACCGATTCTCACGTCGTTTGATTTCAACCTTTCCAGCTACGTACTAAATGTGAAAAACAACGAGGGAACGCTCATTTTTCCTGTTCTACTACCTGATGGATTCTCAAATCGAAAATTTTCACTCAATGGATTATATTGAAAATGCACTTTTTTCATATTCTGATGCGAAATTATATATTTTAGAGACTGCCTTATCTACTCTAGAGCATAAATTTATCAGAGATGGTCCTAATGTTGTCTTAATGAATTTCGAACCCGTTGATAACAGAACACAGGAAACGTATACATCTTTAGCAGATTCGGACGAGTGCCTATTCAGATTACTGGAAGTCTGAAGACCATCTTAATGAACATAAATTCGAACGTTTAACAATAATCTATGTAGGAAGTTTTTAAGAAAATTTCATTGGCCAGTTCATTCGGTAGGAGTAGTCTACTTTGATGATACCACAACGGGAATCTCGTTCGTAAACGTATTACTGAGGATGGTAAATAAGTGGGTTGCCTGAACTGAGTGAATTTGTATAAAGACAGTATACCGGATAAAAATAGCCTCGTCGAAATTCGTGGAAACTAGTAATGAAAGTGTTTCACTTTCAGAACTGGAGTACGTCTTCTGCAAATAACGAGGGACTACATGGCATTTGAACTAGATTGCAAGTTCATGTTAGTTGAAACTCGTTCGGATAAAAAAGGGACGGCGCTGTATTAGTTATTAGTACAAAGATTAGCTAATCCGATCACGGTCAAGTATGATGAAGCAGCCAGTTGCAACTTTCCAAAAAATATCTGAAATAACATCAGTTGTTTTTTTGAACTAATTGCAAGTTAATAGGGATTTTGACTGCCTTCATTGGCACAAACCTGTGCCCAAAACTTAAATCAACAAGCAACCTACTTCAATTTTTTCGCCCTTGTGATACCACACGACTGGTGCACGCGGATCAGAAACAGAGCATTCCACAGTCAAATCCTTTCCCCGTACGACTTCCGCCGTCATAGGTAATTTCTGATTGAAGTGATACATCTGTTTTCTTTCTTCAACAATCAGGGTGCATGTGGTTGAGGTGTCGTTACATTTGCAGGTGTATTTGCCGACGTCTTCCATCGCGATTCTTTTAATTTCCAATGCATATTCATTGCCTTCCCTTAAAAAAACAGACAAGCCATATAAAATCTTACGATATGCGTTTCATTGATCAATTGATTGTAGTAATCACTGGGTCACATTCACTCTGGCTAGTGGGCTACGCCAGAAAATAGATGGTTTCACTTACTGAAGGAAGTTATATTTGGGTCCTTGGAAAATTTCTAATTTATTCTTGTACCACCGGAACTTGGAAGTAGGCTTGCAGAACGTGCACTTGAGCAACGCTTTCATACTGCCTTCTTTGATTTTGAGATCTTGAACCTCTTCAATGAAGTAATCTTTCTCCTGAAAACAAATATGAAAAATGAGATATCACAACCAAATCTCGAGACAAATAAAGAAGATAAGAATATCTTTTTCTTGAAGTGTTTCACACAATAACCATATCTGATCTTTGAACACCCAGCCATCAGAACTTTTGCTAGTATTTCAGTGACTTACAGATGGAAATAAGAGTGGCTAGTTGTTCACTTAGCAATCACCACGTTCTTAGTTTTGTACAGAGATCGTAGGGTGAGTTTATTTTGGCTACAAACAACTACTACTTGGAATGTATTTGGCTCTATTTCAAGACTTTCGCAGGAAACGCATGATAGCTATGCATTTAAGGATTTTATAATTTTTTGACTTATGCGGAAGAGAGGAATGATAAAGGAAGAACCAGAAACCAGTTACAAGCCTGATAAAACTTCACCACTGAGTTACAATGGCTGGTTGGCAACGGTAACAAGGAAGCCGATGGAAGCTACAGAAACCTCCAGTTCAAGAACAAAATACGACAACCCTACTGCAAGGCGAACAAAAAACCAGAGCGCTAGTAAATCTTGGGTGAACTCACGACTTTAGGGGTTTCGCGATGCTTCAACCCGGCAAAGCCAGGTATGGCATCAGCCAGTGATGTACGTCGAGTATTCATTGAGTCTCGTCGAGCCTGCAGTGACTGTTCCAGAGCTTTGGGGTCAAGAAGTGCCGGCTTATCCGCAGAGGTTCGGCGATTGAGCTAAATGATGAAAAATGGGTATTGTCGAGAACACGGAAACGAAGTATGTCAGTGATGAAACATGAAATGCCTTTATTATGATGCTGATATCAGCAACGTAAAACAACACAACTAGCTTATTACGAAGTCCATCATAATTGACTGCTTGGAGCAACAACTTCCCAGAGTTAGCTTAGTAGCTTAGTTATATCCCCAACATTATTGAACTTCAGAGGCTGACTATGCCGAGCGGTGGTGAAGGGTAACTCCAAGCCAGCAATCGAAGTGTCAAAATGGTGAAAAACTCCTACTTTTACATTATCTTGCATCGATGTAGGACTTAAAGGAGAATGGCTTGTTCAACGTTACACTTTTTGGTATTTTTGCTGGCAGGTGCTTGACAGAAGCCTTGTTTTATGGTTGGTAAAGCTTGAAAACGGAGGCGTGAAATCCATCTCTCAGAGGGAATTTTATTCCAACACACTTAAAAAAGGGATCAGTCACCAGTAGTCCAAGGCAAAATAATACACAATTGAATACTCACGACCACTGAAAGTTTTTCACCAAGAGGAAAAAGACGGATAATCGACTTCAACTTACAAAGTCCTCTTCTTTTTTTGCCGCCGAAGACCGTCGACTTCCTTTGCTGGACGGGACCTGAAGTTCACCAACCTCGTCTTCCTCTTCTAGTGCTTCGTCCCTTGAATTTCCATACACAAAAAAACAGCAGAGACTAGATGATAACTTTACCAGATCGGAAGTGCAACTGTTTCAACAATTTCCACTGAGTAGATTTAATATATTGATATTATTTCATCGGAACATGTACGCTGTCACAATGTTTTGTTCCACAGAAGTCCGTAAATGAAATTCCGTTCCGATCTTACTGGAATTAGAAGTGGTGACCATACAAGTACAAGATTATATTTTTGTAAGGTTCCTAAAAAGGGATCGTTGCCCAGCTGGTAAGGTGCACAATCGAGCTGATTGGCTTTCAAATAGACACACATTTGATTGGAACAGCTGTCCAACCATAAGGCTTGGTGAAGTGCACAAAATCGCGAGGGAATACAACAGGAAGCAATGACAGAGTGCAACTAAGGCAGGCTATCACCAAGCCGTCTGAGTGGGCGGTTGATAAGTGGGTGTGCCATCAGTCCGAATAACATCTGTTTAGGTTTGGTTTTAAAATATCCGAGTGAAGACGAGACTTTGGAAACTAAACCTACAGACCGCATAGCAAAATCGTCCAGAGGCGGATTGAAGAAATTTCACAAATAGATGATTATACTTTTTGGTTTTCCAAAGGGTTCCGAGAAAAACGGTCACCACAAGAGAGTACGGGCGGATCAAGTTCAAAGAAGACAGAAAACTCGAAAGAACAGACTTTCCAATATTATTCGGGTGAGATTCCTTTTAGTAAAAATTCTAAATTTCGAATATACTGACTACGGATATTACGATAAACATAGTTGACAATGCCATAAAGTTTGGTCGCTTTTCAGTGCCATGGATTTTACCAGTTGGATTTATGTACATATGTTTTCCGAGCATATTTTGGATAATGATATACATCGAGAGGACATACTTGAACGTCGAGATCCGGAACTCTAGAACCTACATACCTGATAGTCAAGAGCTACCAGTGACTACAACCAAAGTTCCACCTGGAATATAGCTTGTGCCCTGACAAAAACATTTGTTCCCTTACGAATCTCCCTGGAAGAAACACGGATTTGGTGATTTACATATTTCGACAGCACTTTGCAATACCCAGGTATGGATTCATTCATCGTATTCTTTTTTCCCCGCGTCTTACGGTACTGACCTATTTTTAAATCTGGTTGTTTAAAGTCCAATTTTGCGTTTGCTACTTCTGGAAACGGTTTGCTTTCTTAGATGTACGGTATTCAATGCTAGGATTAGGACTGAGCTATAATGTCGGGTGGTGCAATGGACCCATCTTTAGGTTGCACAATGCCTTCAAGTGCAAGTTACCACGCTTCTTATTTTGACTTCCGTCGCGGACGCAAACATTCTGCACCAATTATTTTTATGGCCAAGCCGTCTGGTTTTGAGTGGGCTAGTTGGCATCACGATATGTAAGACGCTGAGTAGTCACAACCACGAACAAATCAAATGTAAGTAGCAAGATGAAACTTTACAAAATGACTCTCACTTGAGAGATTAATTTTGCACCTTCCAGTGTGAGTCTGCACGCAGTGAGGTGATTGTTGGAATTCCATTCAACCTGCGCACAAACTACTACTGATTTGTGTGATAAGTAATTGTTGTCGAAATCCAGCATTAGTGAAGAGGATTTTCCAACCACCAAAGGTCCGCTGACGATTGCGATCAATGTCAGCTACTTGAATGTAAGGGTCTTTCTTCATATTGTTTCATATGGCTAATTACCTGAGCCATTGGAATTAGATTTCTAAGGGTTTCCACTGAGTATCTTTAACCGGTGACTGATCAAGGCAAACTCAAAAGTCGGATTTTTGTGATTTATGAATGACTCTGTGATTACCTGGCACTCTCCGCTTTACCTCATAATTCGGGTTGAAGTGAGTTGTTTTGAAAAAAACGTTTTTTAAGTGAACGATTAAGCTCCCACCGTTTTTTCCCTGTATAGTGGACTGATCGAAGAGATGTTCAAACTGTGGAAAGCATCTATGCTGCCACTCGTGAGGGCAGGACACGTCGGATTAGATAAGGATATTGCTCGTCCGTTGACCTTTTTCCACTTTTGCATTCCCCCACGTTTTAGAAATTATTCACTCGTGGCAATTATTTATCTTGTAAAAGGGTGAGCGGGACTGTGGACACTGAATAGGCTTGATTGACTTTCGACAAGTACACTCAGCTGCACATCAATTTGTTTCTCGTGGGAGACGCAACTGAATATCTCGTTTATGGTATCCTTGAATGAATTTGCTTGACATTATACAGTCCCTCAAAAAGTCTATCTTGACAAGTTTCATCACATGGATTGGTGTAAACACCGGTATTGCCCTAATTAATATTTGTATGACGAACCACAGGCTGGATGATCTCCTACTGATCGAGATATATCTTAACGGAGCTTTTTAATTTTTCATGTTCAAAAAGCGACAATGAATGTCACGGACTATTGGGTCCCTTTGACCATAGAATCTTGGCCCTGCTTACCAGTTTACTTCAAGAACACAATCCGAATTAAGATTTTCCCTTCCTCGTACTGCAACCTACCTTGATTCTCTTCTTCCTTATGTGGCCTGCTATCTCGTTGATGGCACCTTGGCGATGAATCACCAATGGATAACGCCTCTTGCTTGAGTAATAGCCTCGATCCAAACACATATACGTCTGTTTATCTGTCCAAAGTTCCACATACAAGTAATTGACACTGCTGTAACGTTTTCAACTGAAAATTCATCCACAGGTGCATATAGCTATTCTTGGACTGTGCGGATGGTTCTTTGATGGGTAATTTTGGACAAGCATTTACTCGAAATATTCAGGTTTTGCAAGGCATTTAAACTTAATTAGCGAATATGCACTCATTTGCAAACTAATTTGGTCTTTCGAGAGACTCACCTGGAACCCAGCTAAATCTCTCGTTTATGATGTTCTCAGGGCGAAACCGGTCGTGGGCTGTCGATGGATTTTCAGCAACCTTATGAGTAGTACATTACAAAGATATACATTTAAACTTAAGTTTTTTCTTCATTGGGCAAGGCCAAAAGTAGGAACACATGGTCGCTGAATGGCGTTCCTATTCACACTCAGAAAACAGAACCGGATCTTTGACGATCCTGACAAACGCAGTGCCTGTAGTATAATGTGGATAATCAAACAAACGATCAGCGATAGCTCCGAAGATTGTCAACGTGTTAGCCATACCTCTCCATGCTTGATTCACATTTTCCCGGTAGATCTATCGAGTGGCTTCTGACACTAACAGCCGGCGACTGGGCTCAAGAGATAGGCTACCGCTTCGATACTGATAGGGGGCGAGATGGCTCAATGGTTAGAACGCGAATTTACTGACCGGAAGGTCTGTGGTTCGAAACCGACCTCTGTCTCTCGACTTCCCCTGTCTAGGCTTGGGCATCCTGGCAGTATCCCAGTCCCTTAGAACGCGAATTTACTGACCGGAAGGTCTGTGGTTCGAAACCGACCTCTGTCTCTCGAATTCCCCTGTCTAGGCTTGGGCAACCTGGCAGTATCCCAATCCCCACGCTTCCTTCTGGTAGCATGGCAGTTAGGCGCCGCAAAGGCGCCACAGCTGAACGAACGATACTGATATATTTGCAGTGATAGTGGCAAAATTCGCAGCAGTGTCGTCATCCAACCGGGCTGAGCTTATACGAACATTTCATGTGACTTGGAGCTAGGATCGATTTTAATAGTGTTTGAGTTGTTTAGAATAAGCGAATCGATTTTCCGTGTAATCGTCACCCACAATGAGATTCCGGAAACAATGATGAGTGGGGCTGAGGTTGAGGATCCTAACCCTATAAGGTCACCAAAGACTTATTAGAAAGTACACATGGATAACTGCTGGTCACTCATAGCTGGAAAAAGACTCATCAACCGACCACTTGGTTTCAGTGGCAGCCAAACTGTTATGCAAATAAGTGCATTTGTCGAATCACACTTCGTATACATTTTTGTAAGTCTGGAAAACAATAGGAAGATTTGTTGCCGGGTAACGGTTTGATTTTGAAACGAAAACTTCGTCAAGTCAAGTCCATACAGCTTGCGCGGCTTCTTCCCAAAATGCTCAGGAAATACGTCAGGATGAACAAATTCAGTGACTTGATTTGACTGACACGACATCTTTGTTTTAACCGACGAGTGTTTTACCTGACAGACGGGCGCCCTCTTCATCATATAACCTAGGCAACAACAGTTGAGCGTGGGAAACACCTGCTTCGTCTGCAAGTGTAAACACATCTGTTCCCTATAGAGATGCACTTAAACCTCCAGGTGGTACATTTCGTAACTGTTCGGATATTTTAAGTGCCCCCAGAAAGATCCTACCAACAAACTTATGATGGAAAAAATCACAGCACATGCAGGTCAAGCAACGTTTTGGAACAGTTTCAGAATCAGTGGAAAACGTTTTTTAGTTTCTCAGGATTAAGCATTCGACTGTCACATATTTCAGTATTTTTCCGCAGCTGCCGTAATAATCTGATGCTGCCTTATTGTGTAGTTGGTTGTGGATGGCGACTGGATATTTCTGGACCATTCTCTATATTTTATCCCTTGTCTTTTTAAAAAAATTCCCGTCGTGTGCCAGCCTTAAGGAAGGAAGTTTCTTCGAAACCACGAGGAAAGCCCGAAAACTTACAGAGGAAGTGAATATTTGCATGATTACATTTGTTCGTTGCTTCGGCTCATGGTTCAGATACTGAAAGAACACAGACAATTGAGTTCTTGACGGGTACGGTCGCGACAAAGATCTCCGTCACGGCCGAGTAATTTGTGTTGATATCGCCTACCATTCGATGGAAAGCTCCAAAGTGCCTTTCTAGTAAAGTAAGTCTTCCGGAAACTAACCTGCAAGCAGTTACTGGCGCCCAACTCCGCTGGCATCCCACTATTTAGCCTCCTGTTTTAGGTTCCAGACGCGAACGCTGGCTAAAAACTTTTAAAACACACAAAGGCTCAGAGATGTTTGGTTCACTTGTATCCGAGCAGCCAACAGGTTTTTCACCATCTACAGTGCATGCTGGTTTCATCGTTCTCGGTGGTCATTAGATATGCGTAAACCTCTAGCATTCGTAAACCCTATGATCAAATTCCGTACAAAAGGAAGGCACTATTTGTTAACGCTAATGTAATTTGCAAATGAGCAGACATATTTCGTTAATCCGTAATATCATTTTTTCGACTACGCTTGGGACTTTGAATGGTCTTTCGACGAAAATTCCGTTATGACATAAACCCTTTTTGGAACGAGCACACTGGAAAAATGCAGAAACTGGGGTAGAATTTCAGAAGTAGATTAGAATCACAGTTGAACAGAGTAGAATAAACATTGATCACAATTGCGCTCAGAGCAGAATGCTGAAAAAATTAGATACATGGATGGAAACTAACAGTTCAGAGCATTCTTTCCAGTAAAATATTCGAATTTAGAATTTGAAAAGTGGGGAGATTGATAAAGTATATATGAAATTGCGGTTTCAAAAAAACTACGTTTGATATTTCCGTACGCTCTTGAATTTTCGGTATTATGAGAACGCAGTTTTGATCATGGTAGAATGATGGAGGCATGCGAACCGAACAAGCTAGGAACGCAGCTGACCACAATGCTGCATGATTTTGCCACTGATTCTGCACCATTCTAGAATTCATGCCTTCTGACAAAAGTACTTGTGACGCTCATTGAATGCTTCTTATTAATTATACGTTGTTTAATTTATTAGCTGTAAACTTCGGAAGTGGGTTCCAAAAGCTACAATATTTGTGGTAGCCGACATCGGCACTAATAGTGTGCGGTGGGTTTGGCTTGCATCCTATATATCTATACTCTCAGTAAATAAATTTAACACGTCAAGGTTAAACTTCTCACTCACTCTTGAATGACATCAAGATCAAAGGACGTTTTGTCACACACTGTTCCTTCTGAGAGGAGCTGCAGAAGATAGGCGCCTTTGTCTTCTACCCTCACATTTTTCAGTGTGATCACAATGGACCGTTTGGTAGCATCTACGCGGACAGTGCCACGCTTGTCACTGGTAAGATCAACGCCGTTTTTGGTCACCTTAGCTTGTGGGGTGACGGATCCTGCGGAATAGTCCACTGTTAGGATAAAGGTTCGTCCTGTGAGAAAGTAAACAAAGGCCCGTGGTTGAATGGCACAAAATCACGTAAATGTAGGCAATAGTGCACTAACATCATATCGATCGCCGCCGTAGCTTTTCAACCGTACTCATGCTACAACTCATATTCAACTTATTATGCGCTTGTAGCAGTGATAAATTACGGTATAAACATGCCACTTGGTTTGCTGGTATTTTGTGGAAGGCCCATCGTATCATTCTACAACTACGACTGACCTTTTCCAACGACTTCGGTTTCGTCTTGTTAGCACTGGAGTTTCTTTTCTTGCAAGTGGTGTTAAGCGACATGATGGTCTACTCAGAATGGCGCCATGTAACGTTCGTCCAGAGCACAAAGTGGATGATAAACTACTACAGCGGGTACAATTCGATATGGTTATCACTTTTCCCGTGCGCTCACCGGACCGCTCTCACAATGTCTCTCGCATAGGCTGCAAAATACGCACAAGTCGTATCTACTAATGGCCTTCAAGAAGACTTTGAAGAAGAACAGTGAATGAATGTCATTGATAACCGAAAGAACCGTTTTATGTGGGATGTTTGGGTGCCTACCAAACTGATATTTTCAATCTTCGTGAAACGGTTCGCTTGTTTGGCCATAGGCGTTTGCTGGTGGAAGGAGTTGAGGGACCGTTTGCTGTTATGTTTCGTTGCAATAGAATCTATACTGACTTAGACAAAAGGCCGAACTTGATACGTGGAACAAAACTAGCAGGGATAACGAGATTTATTTATAAGCGTTAATTTAGACAATAGAACAATTTTGGAACAAAGAGCAGGAGAGTTGTTGTGCCCTTTTATATTGGCAATCCATATTCCAAACGGAAACAAACTGATTAAAGCGACGTTTCCTTTCTTGTATTACACTGTTTCCCATAGTGTTACCATAGTGTATTTTGACTAGAATTTCATTCTGCAAGTAAAATTAATCCTTGCTGAGGAAATGAGAAGAATCATCCGGCTGTTTCTTCTCCTTCGAGAACAATCAGAAGTGCACTTTTCACGAAGCTCTAGGATTATATGAACTCCCAGCCATCCGTTAGTAGATGAGCGCCATATCACTTGGCTATGACTGGCCAGTCAGCAGTCTGACCACCCCGCACTTAAATGAGACATGCTGCCACAACCTTTCAGGCCGTTACCCAGGTCGGACAGGCTACTCAAGTGACTATTTCTCAGGAAGAGGAGCCTTGTGACTTGTGGGGCATNTTGTGTAGTTGGTTGTGGATGGCGACTGGATATTTCTGGACCATTCTCTATATTTTATCCCTTGTCTTTTTAAAAAAATTCCCGTCGTGTGCCAGCCTTAAGGAAGGAAGTTTCTTCGAAACCACGAGGAAAGCCCGAAAACTTACAGAGGAAGTGAATATTTGCATGATTACATTTGTTCGTTGGGAACCTACTTAGAGAGTTCTCCGAGTATGTTATGATCAGGACACCGAATTCGCTATCAAATATATGCTCTACTTTGGATATTCAATGTTAGAGATGCATTTTCTCCTGCGAACACATTCGCCCGGGAAAGCGGTCGTGGAAAATCCAAGTGTATACAAACAAAATTCAGTGCGCTCAATCTCATGACAAAGGTCACAGAAAGTCATCTGGAACATGGATCATGGAACCATTGACACTGGTTTCATTCGAGGTGGAGATTTGTCAGACTACCGTGCTAGAGAGAGACGGCTTAACCGACATTCAGGGACTTCAAGCATGAGTTCTATAATGCCGGTCGTGATCACGTCAGGTACCGCGGAAATGAAGGTCAACTCCCAGGGGACCGGTTCCATGACCGCAACTACCGGGGCACTGAGAAGGGAATCGAGTGGGTTTTTCAAGTTTGGACCATGCTTACCGGAGCCACAGAGCTAGAGCGTTTTTTAGAGAACGAAGATGATAGCAATTTAGAAGTTGGAAACATCATCGTTCCCCTGCTGATGGGAGCGGTAAAAAGACGGATGACATTTCGAACCTTTTAATACGCATTGTGAAACAAACTGGTACCGGTTGCGTAAACCTCTAGCATTAATAAACCTTAGGATCGAATTCCGTACAAAAGGAAGGCACTATTTGTTAACGCTAATGTAATTTGCAAATGAACAGACATGTTTCGTTAATCCGTAATATCATTTTTTCGACTACGCTTGGGACTTTGAATGGTCTTTCGACGAAAATTCCGTTATGACATAAACCCTTTTTGGAACGAGCACACTGGAAAAATGCAGAAACTGGGGTAGAATTTCAGAAGTAGATTAGAATCACAGTTGAACAGAGTAGAATAAACACTGCTCACAATTGCGCTCAGGGCAGAATGCTGAAGAAATTAGATACATGGATGGAAACTAACAATTCAGAGCATTCTTTCCAGCAAAATACTCGAATTTGGAATTTGAAAAGTGGGGAGATTGACAAAGTATATATGGAATTGCAGTTTCAAAAAAACTACGTTTGATATTTCCGTACGCTCTTGAATTTTCGGTATTATGAGAACGCAGTTTTGATCATGGTAGAATGATGGAGGCATGCGAACCGAACAAGCTAGGAACGCAGCTGACCACAACGGTGCATGAATTTGCCGCTGATTCTGCACTACTCTAGAAATCATGCCTTCTGACAAAAGTACTTGTGACGCTCATTGAATGCTTCTTATTAATTATACGTTGTTTAATTTATTAGCTGTAAACTTCGGAAGTGGGTTCCAAAAGCTACAATATTTGTGGTAGCCGACATCGGCACTAATAGTGTGCGGTGGGTTTGGCTTGCATCCTATATATCTATACTCTCAGTAAATAAATTTAACACGTCAAGGTTAAACTTCTCACTCACTCTTGAATGACATCAAGATCAAAGGACGTTTTGTCACACACTGTTCCTTCTGAGAGGAGCTGCAGAAGATAGGCGCCTTTGTCTTCTACCCTCACATTTTTCAGTGTGATCACAATGGACCGTTTGGTAGCATCTACGCGAACAGTGCCACGCTTGTCACTGGTAAGATCAACGCCGTTTTTGGTCACCTTAGCTTGTGGGGTGACGGATCCTGCGGAATAGTCCACTGTTAGGATAAAGGTTCGTCCTGTGAGAAAGTAAACAAAAGCCCGTGGTTGAATGGCACAAAATTACATAAATGTAGGCAATAGTGCACTAACATCATATCGATCGCCGCCGTAGCTTTTCAACCGTACTCATGCTACAACTCATATTCAACTTATTATGCGCTTGTAGCAGTGATAAATTACGGTATAAACATGCCACTTGGTTTGCTGGTATTTTGTGGAAGGCCCATCGTATCATTCTACAACTACGACTGACCTTTTCCAACGACTTCGGTTTCGTCTTGTTAGCACTGGAGTTTCTTTTCTTGCAAGTGGTGTTAAGCGACATGATGGTCTACTCAGAATGGCGCCATGTAACGTTCGTCCAGAGCACAAAGTGGATGATAAACTACTACAGCGGGTACAATTCGATATGGTTATCACTTTTCCCGTGCGCTCACCGGACCGCTCTCACAATGTCTCTCGCATAGGCTGCAAAATACGCACAAGTCGTATCTACTAATGGCCTTCAAGAAGACTTTGAAGAAGAACAGTGAATGAATGTCATTGATAACCGAAAGAACCGTTTTATGTGGGATGTTTGGGTGCCTACCAAACTGATATTTTCAATCTTCGTGAAACGGTTCGCTTGTTTGGCCATAGGCGTTTGCTGGTGGAAGGAGTTGAGGGACCGTTTGCTGTTATGTTTCGTTGCAATAGAATCTATACTGATTTAGACAAAAGGCCGAACTTGATACGTGGAACAAAACTAGCATGGATAACGAGATTTATTTATAAGCGCTAATTTAGACAAAAGAACAATTTTGGAACAAAGAGCAGGAGAGTTGTTGTGCCCTTTTATATTGGCAATTCATATTCCAAACGGAAACAAACAGATTAAAGTGACGTTTCCTTTCTTGTATTACACTGTTTCCCATAGTGTTACCATAGTGTATTTTGACTAGAATTTCATTCTGCAAGTAAAATTAATCCTTGCTGAGGAAATGAGAAGAATCGTTCGGCTGTTTGTTCTCCTTCGAGAACAATCAGAAGTGCACTTTTCAGGAAGCTCTAGGATTATATGAACTCCCATCCATCCGTTAGTAGATGAGCGCCATATCACTTGGCTATGACTGGCCAGTCAGCAGTCTGACCACCCCGCACTTAAATGAGACATGCTGCCACAACCTTTCAGGCCGTTACCCAGGTCGGACAGGCTACTCAAGTGACTATTTCTCAGGAAGAGGAGCCTTGTGACTTGTGGGGCATCTTCTTTTCAAGCAGATTACCTGCAGTTTATGGGTTATTTGGAGATTTGAGGGGAGCTGCGTCAGACCATGAGTGATTAAGCACACTTCCTAGGGGAAGGTAAATGGACTGCCCGTCTGGAATACATTTTCAATTACATAAGACCTTACTAGCAAAATACAGATACTGAAAGAAGGTTACCGTTGAATATGTAACCTAAGGATACGCTGTTTCAGAAGAGCTTGGTAAATAATCGGTAGTTTTTATTTGGGCAACGTTTCGCTTTTGACACAAAAGCTTCATCAGGCCAAGTGAACAGGTGACCAAACCGGCTAGGTTATAAGACAGACAGGGAACCAATCAGTAAGTCCACCTCACACTAGATCAGTGTTGAATGTCAATTAACAGCTCTTGTCGGCTAGTGTGGATGCCGAAATCTTGAATTTACGGGTTACAGGAGTTTCAAATTAGTTCCGATCGCTTTCTGTTCCTTAATCTTCTACTTCAGAGTGCTTCACTTGATAATTCACCTTGGATGCCACTAGTAGATTTTCCTTGATCTTCGTTCGCATGTGAATGCTACGACAATTTAGTTGGGTAGAAGGGAGGTGCGTAAGGTTAAGTGGAATTCAGGTGATTACTACTGTTCCCTCTGATACACTGGTTTTCTGGTTTGGCTAAGCGCACCAGGCTACCAAGCGGCTATCCAAACTCGGGTTAACTGTATTAAGAAGGCATTAGGAAAAGCGTGGTCCACAACAGGTTACAACTCCAGACACTCAACCAGGTGTTACGCTTGAGTGCACTCTAGTGTTTCATAAGTATTCGCAGAGCAATACTCACAATATGGAACGTTTGACTCTGGATATGGAGGTTGATCAAGACCGTATAGGTTGTCTAAAAGAGCTTATTGATTGATCCACCTATAGTTAGATTTCCACCTACTGAGCTTTTAGGACCGCAAGTCTGTTTGTGTTTGATGCTGCACATCCATAGCCACTAATATTAATATCATTCACGCCTATTTCATGTGTCTACTCAGAATGCGACAGAATGTGGCACCAGATGCAGATCAGTACGGTCCTTTGGCAAGTAGATTACGGGAGGTGATTAACGACGCCCCCCTTTGGTTCGGTCATAAAGATCCGTCGTGTCATGATTTCCTAAATCATTCAAATTTGCTAGCAAGACAAGATAGATCCAGGCCTGTCACTGGGGTATGGTGGCAACACTCGAGGTTAGTGGGAATTGCTTCGTTCATTTTTCACTACTGATGCTAGTTTGAGTAGTCAAACATGTACAAAAAGTACAAACTCACCAGCGTCGGCCGACTGGTTACCAGGATATCCGATGATTTGCGGGAGGGTGGCTTTCGACTCTTTTGCTGATTCGATGATTAAAGAGCAAGAAAACGGTTTATTGAGTACTAAAGATGGCTGTCTGGAACGTATGATCATATACTATCATCTAGCTAGCATTTGAATCCATAATCTTATGTGTGTGCACTAAACTTGAACAAAATGGATAAAAAGTGAGTAGTAGTGTAATAGGGTGGAAAACGTTGCACGTCGCAGGTATAAGCACATCACAGTCATTATCCATTATACATAAAAGGGTACCTTTGGACATTTCCAGTGTTGATAGTGGGTTCCATGTTTCGTCTACTCAAGACAAAATTTGAAAGGTTAACCAGGTGGCAGATGATGGCAGTCTTGGATATCTGGTTTGACATGCTGTTAGAAGTCTACAGTTTTGGTCGCCTACACACGTCAGTGATGTCGATAAACCGTGGGTCAGACAAAGTACTGATATTCTAATATTGTGACTTATTTCCTAAATCTTTCCTAGCATATCAGTTCTTATCCCATTTGAAACTGATTTATGAAAAATGTAGACTCTGCAAGTAAAGTATGCGCGTCGAGACCGCCTCGGATGATGTAGAAAGACCGAATGCAAGAATCGATTTGCTTTCCTCTCTTTTGAACGCAAATCTTTACGTTAGAGTGAATGTTAAACGATGAACACCAGTTTTATATATGCCAGTATGCACGCAAAAGTTTTAGACTGTGGTATACTGAATGAGCAGTGCGGATGCACCAAGGTATAAAGTGTGTGCAAGGCCAATGAACATAATCGGAGTGCTGTTCAAATGAACGACATGATAGGGTGATGGGAAAGGACGTGTGAGTTTGCGTTACTTGATTGTCATAAGTAGCATATGTGATTCGAAGTTAACTACTGACATCCGGGACAAAAACTACTTTGTATCCCGATTACCACAGTAGGAAGATCTGTAGATTCGATAAGCCCTTTTCAATGAATATTCTAGAGCTACTGAAATCCTGTTAGCTTAAATCATTTACTGTGGACTATTACTAACCTCGCTGATTATTCGAAAATACCAGATAAGCTTTGAAGCCACTCATGAGGAATATTCATTTCATCATTTCCAGTTTGGATGATGTGAAAGGCGATTAAAGTACAGTGCCAAAGTTCTGAGTTACAAAGGCTAAATGAGGCTCAGTGGTTACAGGTGACAAAACAGTTGTGGCGGATATATTTCATGACCATCCTTTTATGCCCGGTTGGAACAGGTAGCGGAGCATTAGGTGTGGGCATGCTGTGTGTGTGTATGTGATGAATTCCCATGCATTTTGCCTTTCTTTTGAGCGTTCAGAAGTGTTTTTTACGCGCATAAAGGGGGGTTTGTTAGAAGCAAAATATCAGCTTCCAACCTTACTGGGGTTTATCCCACGGTTTCATCTACAGTAGATTATGCATGAAGCAACATTCGGTAAAATTCCAAAACCATGACTCTGTAATTTTTAGACCGCATGAGAAGATCAACTACTGGTCATATAATGCATTCATCGTAACTACCGACCGTTGATTGGTTTTTCGAATGATCTAACGGGAGGTTCAAATTTTGGACACGTGAAAAAGATGTGGATGTTCAAAGTCGCGCCATTTGCACAAAAATAAGATTCATTTATTGCGCTTTTATTGCTTGGACTGTGAAATCTCTGAGTAATGCCAGTACGCTGCGCACAGCCAGTGTATCACAGGATGAATCATTAAAAATAGGCAATTAGTGCTGTCCATTAAAATGGAATTACATCAGACTTGGTGAATTTCCGATTGCACGGACAGTTTGATTTCCGCAAATCGGCATTAAAGTAGCCGATTGAGGCCAGGAACATGGTTTTTCCAAAGCTCCCCGCCATTACAAATCTCGTGAAGTGGTGTCCATCAACTAGCCCAGCTCCGTTGATTTTGTTTTGCAAAAACTGAGAGAACGTTGTGGAGGAAACAGCTCTTTAGTTCAAAAGAAGGGAGTTTTAATTTATTTGACATTTGCTGCTAGCTGCGAGGTGCTTCTTGCGGAAAGACCACAGCGTGGAGAAACTCGTCGACATTTACGAAGTAAAGCAGTTTGTAAAAATAGCACCTGAACGCTGAGACAAATCAAAGTTTATTTTTCTCTCTACAGAATGCAGTTATGAAACAAATGTGGGAAGATTTATAATTTCACATTACTTATCCTGACCTGCTAATTCATCCCAATTTTTTTAGTGCTGCGTGCGATCCCCTTCATTGGTCATCTCAAAACTGACAGGTGATCAATCGTAGCGAGTCGCTTTTGTGTGCACGAACAGTCGGGTGAAAGAATTTTGTACACTCTGCTTTTAAGTGTCTTCATAACTCACTAATATGACCTCACCATTCAACTAAGGTCTGTAAGCCACAAGTGAACAAAAACGTATTTGGTCGGTCAGTGACCTGGTTGCAAATCCACTTAATTTTATCTACTGATTTTGTAGAAATCAAGAAAAGCACATAAATCTGTGTTAATGATTTTCCACGTTAGTCTGGAGGAAGGAGTTTGTCCACAGTGCTGCGAATTTAAATGATTGCGCAAAAGAGTGATAGCGACTTACGCGGTACTTTGAAATTGACAGACTGGAAGGCTGTTCCAACTCCGTTGGTGATTTCGCAGTCATAGGTTCCGGAATCTTTTTCAATCAACTTTGAATGAAAGAAAGCAGGACAAAATGAGACTGTCAGTTGCTTTTGACTGAACAATTTCAAAAGATTAATCACTTGCGGGTAGTGACATGATGACAGAAAACGAAAGCGATAAGAGAAATTAATCGGAATAAGCGGCTGACATTTGTTGCAATAGGAGGCGGAATTCGAGCCTAGCCAGTCACTGTTTTCTCAATCCTTTTTTAGTTCTTATTTCTGTTCCTTCTTTCTCGCCTTCATCAAACGCGTCGTCACTAGGAGAATCGAAACTAGCAAACAGCATTGGGAGGCACACTCTGGTAAAATTCATCCCCAGCTACCCTGCATTTGTTCAAACAATTTGTGCCTAAGTTGCAAACGCAGAGGAATGTCACGTATAATAAGAATGCAGACAATTAGCTCAGAAAACGTGTTGGGTGGTACTAAGACAGTACCGGAAGGCTAACATTCTCACCAATTAGCCTGACTCACGTAATGTTCCAAATAATGCTCGAAGCATAGAATGTTGGACAAAAATAGAGTAATGCCAGCAGTCGCCCAGGTTTTGAGGTATCATGGTGCTCTTTCACGGATAGATTAGAGTAGCATGCATTGAAGCAATTAATGGTGATGTCCACCCTGAGCACGAGAGCCAAAAGGCATTTCTGGGTGCATTTCGAAAGTAAAGAAGATTAGAGAGACAGCAAAGATTATGGTTCAGATAATTTTCCTATCGCTTTTACGAACAGCTTCAGCCACTTTTCTTCAGCAAAACCCCGTCACAAAGATGGGTTGAAGGACTTTTGCAAAAGGACAAGATTTCTCTAACAACACTGATCAAAAGTGTGAGTGATATACTGGATACAATTGGCAACAGTTTGAAAAAAAACGCCTATGTATAAATCTATCCAAACAAGACAAACACTTTTGCTCGTGTCCAAAAAAACCACTAGCCTGAAATTCCAAGTACGCAGCTTGATGGTGAATCACTTACATCACTAATAATTAGCTCGACTTTGTGCACCGCCCCCTCGAGCTGTACATTTGTTCCGTAACGTCCTCCAATAGCAAGGGCTTTACCAGCCTGGGACCAAGTGAAAACCGGCTGGCTTCCAGCGTCCACTTTGATTTCAAGAACCGCTTGCTGATTGTTGTTCTCAAACCGGACATTTGGTAAGCCCACAATGCGGGGCCTAAATACAAAATTACACATGATGCAGGAGTGTAAAAAACCGTGTATATCTGTACTAAATCTTGGTCCTTAAATTCACAAGTGCTTAATTTCATCTGTATCAATGCAACCTTACTCTAGTACTCCAAGGGTTTTCAAATTCAAGCAATTTCCACTTTACATCTTTTGGTAAATTCACCAACACTCTTGTAAAAAACATGAAACCTCATCGCGTGCGAAATTATTTCCTTGCTCATATCTTATCTGAACTGAAGTCCCCTGGGAGTTTTACAGTACAGTGTGTTCCTGAGAAACCCTTGATGTAACCGGTAAATATAGTAAAAGTTCGGTAAACTGGACAAGTGGTTGTGTTCTACTGTTTTATTGTTTGGTCTCACATCCGTCAACATTGTGAAGAAATTTTACATCGGACGAACGTTTTATTCTGTTCTGTAAGTCCATTGGTAATAAGATTTGTAAAAATTCTATTCTAAAAGGTGCCCAAAGAGAGGTCACTATTTCTACCTCAAGTGAAACAGTATTTTCTGAAATAAGTAGTATGAATGTGAAATCATAAAGACCTAGGGAAATTTCTTACGTCTTATGAGGTCCGAGTAATGAGTAAGCTTGGTAGCAAACTGGAAGCGGATTTTAGTTATTTTAATAGTGTTTTAAGGTAGAGACGCTAATAAAAATCACATATTAAGAGTATGTAGTCTTAAATAAATTCTCCGTGGCTGGTTAGAGACTGATTGTTGAATTCTTAGGATGTCCACCGGTCAGGTGACACTTGTCTTTTCTGGACATACTAAACAAATATGAATGAGTCATTCTCAACATATTTCCATTCTCCGGTTTCGAGCAAATGTTTAAATCTACATAGGAAAGCCCAACCCAGACTATTTAGTACTAAAGTACTTGAGTCTTTTAACTTTATGAAGGTACGATGCACATCAAGAACCTATTTTTAAAGACCGTACCTGGTTGTCCGGTTCAGCTTAAGATCCGGAAGAAATTAGATTAATATATCACTCTGACTAAGACTTGCTCACACGTACTCAAACAAACATCTTCATGGTTACTAAATATGGTATTCGGGCATAGCAACAGCTTTGTTCCCGGCTAGTAAGTGCATACTGGTAGTGAACCAGATATCACTCTATTTTACATCGGATAGATGCAATAGATCGAGAGAAGGTGACAGTGTTTTTTGACAGTGAGTTAGAAATATAGAATTTGGACATTAATAGACAATTGTATTATGGCCCATTTAGAACAGCAGCCAAGTAGCGACGATAGGATGATTGAATGACTGTCCGTTTGTCATCGAAATACATGTTTCATGCTAGTGTTGATGTTTGAATGTTTCTATATTATCTCAACATTATTATTCTGTTTAAACCATATCGGAGAGTTATCAGCTTACTTTAGGTTTAGAAAGTAAGTCTTATTTGCTAAAAAATTGACATCAACGTCAAGGGAGTTGCATACGGGAATGGAATTTGGGACAGAAGTAAGCAAGCAATGACAGATAAACGTACATTTTAACTTCCATAGTTGCAGTTGCATCACCATGCTGGTTTTTCGCTACCAATGTGTACGTACCAGAATCGGCATTCATGAAGCTCTGAAAAAGTATCAAACAAGGGAGGCAACAAAGTCATCAGCAAAGGTTCTGCGTTCCTATTTCTGTCCAAACAATGACAAGTCGACTTTATAAACTTGCGACAGTAGGCAAATCTACTTACAAATGATCCTTCATATGATAACATTCTAAAAGGATCATTGAAGATTCACGAAAAAAATCACTGCTGAGTTCCAATTTTTGGAGCTTACAAGATTTAATAAGTTGTTGTGGTCTACAGAGCCAACTGCCGTAAGAGTGGGTTCAGAAGGCTCCGAAATCGCAACATTCTAAAAGGATCATTGAAGCTTCACGAAAAAAATCACTGCCGAGTTCCAATTTTTTGGAGCTTATAAGATTTAATAAGTTGTGATCTACAGAGCCAACTGCCTTAAGAGTGGGTTCAGAAGGCTCCGAAATCGCCCGATGAATAGACCGAAGTTTTGTGGTAATTTTTTCGATATCTTGTCACTGAAACGCCATTAGCCGAATCGTAAAAAGTTGGCAAATAATTGCTGAAAATGAACATAAAAACGCAAGTTCAGCGAATTTGTAGCAATCTGTTTTCTAATTTTGTACAATACTGATGTGCACTCTGGGGTAATTGTGTGAATCACTTTTTTAAACATTTGAGCAAAATGAACGGACGAGGGGGCAGCAGTAGAATTACTGTTGGCAACCGTCAGGTTAAAACATTATGAAACATGGTTTGGTTCTCACTGACAGCAAGTTGTCAGGTTCTCATCATGAACTAACATGACTCAAGCGGTTGTACTTATGTAGTTAGAATGAAGGAGATAAGTGTTTGTAGATTCACAGACTCACAATTAATCGCAAGGTGTTCACAAATACGGCTCCATCTTTACTGCTACTCATGTCGAACTTGTGTGCTCGCGGTTTCAGTTCCCGCCCATTTTGGTACCAGGTGTAGTTCGGGGCTGGGTCTCCTGTTGAACGACACTCCAACACGACATCCTTTCCATTATTGTCTTGAAAGATTCTAGGTTTCTCAAACGCTGGAGCTTTGGCAGCAGATTTTTGTCCTGCAAAGATTCAACATTTTGTTCTGATGTGAGTAGCAAAATACGACTGCGCGACGGCTTGTTAAATAAGTGTTTGGTTGCAAGAGATTATAATCTGTTTCCGACCAACCTCACCGTACACACTTGTTTTCAAAGAACTGCTGTCCACTGTGCTTCTACAGCATGTATAGTGCGCTACTTCAGGAAATGCCTATTCTTGGCCGGACGCTCATCGTTCCCATTTGGGTGAGGCAAACTCAGATTTGTTCAATTTGAATGCAAAGTGCTGAAAGCTGACCCCAAAGACACAGTATATGATTATTCGTAGTACGGAGTACGATTGATGTGAGATGGTGCGCTGAGTACTAAGCAGTGAACCCACCACATAATCCCACCTAGATTTACTCCGGGTAATTTCCTAAGAATCCACACACAAAAAGCTGCCTTAAAACTGGGACTACCACTACCAGCTATGAAACCTCTTCCGCTGTAGATTGTCAAAAAACATCTTTTGCAGCAACTGGATAGCTTTTCGCCCAGGTGATAAAAAGCCTAAAATTTGACAAGTTTTCCACAAAAAGCTTTTTTTCGGTTCAACTATTCATGGATGACTGTTGTCACATCTGAGTACTGGTTTATGTTAAAAATGTCGAATGATCATTTTTGGTAGCATTCTACCTATCGCACCATTATAAATCAGACTACTTCCTTTCGACAGACCACAGTATGAATGCACCCTCCGTAGTACCTGTCAGGGCGAAACTTTCGCCCTCGGTCAGCGGAGGTTGTTAGTGGTTTTTGCAGTTATTTGTCGTTCTCTTAGTGTGAACTGGATTGTTTTTAAAAAATTCGTATCTAAATACTTTAGTTGAACCTTGATTTGAGTTGCCTCCTATTGAATTTATAAATGTGATTTTTGATTCACTTGATGATTTTTTGAATCGGTAGCCCTCTTTAAATGCACGAGCTCGATCTTCCAGTAAGTGGTAAAATCTTGTCTGGCGTTTAGCAGTGTGATCTATCGGAAATGGTCACCATAACAAGGTGAATTTCACAGGTCACAAACAAACAAGACTCTGACCTTTGTCACCAACTTTCATAAAGGGGCCAGTGAAGTTGGTGGCGTGGAAAAAATTCACCTCAACGTCTGTCACTAGAAGGCTAAGCACTCATTGTGTCATAGTGTAAAACCCTTGCTACTGCGGCTGATTTCTTTAGGAGTTTTGATATGTCTAAGTAAGTCGCAGTTCATGAGGTTTGTCCTCTTATCACAGAACTGGTCCTGAAGCACTGGATTTCGAAGAGCCCTGACTCATGGTGTTTTCAGATCGTGCCCACTGTGCGAGTGCTGATCACACCAGTAAGGATACCACCCAACTGTAGATCAGTTCTCAAGCACCCGCCCCATGCTGGATAATACCTTGCTCATCCCCATATTTCTAACGCGGCCTCAAGTGTAAGATGTTTACCGGCCTCAAATAGCATCGAGTGAGCCAGGGAACACGAGAGAAAAAGTTTTTTTAAAGAAGGGACTAGTCTAGCGTACGATTGTTTCCTCTCTGAGCAACCTTGTTGTACTTATTGGAGATTTGTTGTCTTGCTCACAGAGCCTCGAAAAATGAAGCGCCTCATCCGCAAACCTCACAGTACACACTTGTTTTCAAAGAACTCCTGTCCACTGTGCTTCTACAGCATGTATAGTGCGCTACTTCAGGAAATGCCTATTCTTGGCCGGACGCTCATCGTTCCCGTTTTGTTTAGATTTCCAGCGTCAAACACAAACAAACAGGCGTCAACGGTGCATTTCTCAGGTAAGTTTCTGCGAAGTCAGTAACAATGAGAGAGATCGTAGTTGACTGTAATTGGGGTAAAACCGGGATTTAAGTGAACGTTGGTTACGCAAAAATTGCACGTTGAAATTTTCCCGATGTTTGTTCGCTTGTATCTCAAAACTAATATCGATTGACAAGCTCAGCGTAATCGAATCTGTCAGGATGTTGTTTCCAATTCGAAGTGATTAGGGTTAGGACTGGTGATGAGCTAGTCTGCTGCGCAAATGAACCTTCGGTGGATTGTAAGTTCGTTCAGAAATTCATATAGAATCCCGTAAAGATAGGGCACTAATATTGCGTTGAATGTTTCATTTTTTAGCACGAAATGTTACCGGTCTTGTAATACTGTTCAACACAGCTGGTTGAATGTGTGTTGACCTTGATGTCGTTAACGGAAAAAAGAGTATAGGAAACAAACATTTTGCTGGTTTTCTCATGCTATACATTCAACCACAATTTCGACAGAGACATCGTAATCTTTTCCCGGAAGCTATTGGTGAGAAGTGTAATGCTCCTGATTGGATAATACACAGTGTGCACAGTCGTTTGTAAACTAGCTAGGGGAGGTGATTGTGTATAAACTACGCATGGCGAAAGTTACTCCAAGCGACATCTTCAAGACTGTTTGAAAGCGTATGTAGTAATGTGCCTCTTGCAGGCGAAAATTCCTCCACAGCTGCTTCTTGTCCGCATTTTTCTATTTCCTATTTATTCTTCTTACCCCTTAACCCCTTTTACCGCCAATTCGGATCATTGGTCAACCGGAATAATAGCATGACCAGATCCGTGCTGTGGCATGAGACATCTCAAAAGCACAAATGATCTTTTCAACCCGAAAGTGTATTCTCAAGCCATCTAGTCTTGAATGATTGCAGTTTGACTGTCTTTTTTGTCCAGTTTACCGTTAACTCTTATTAGTTGTGAGATGACTGAGCTACAGAGGTCACTGCCGCATGTTGTCCATTCCGGTCTTTTCGTTATCAGATTATGTAACTGGTTCCGTATCCATGATTTTTTAGATGTCGCCTCTGCATCAATTCATGTAGGTTGATGCTCAGTCACACGCTATCGGCATTATTCCGTCTGTTGATCTGCTCTAGTAAGTAGCGACTTTTTTCGGTCGGGACCACTCGTTTTTGAGCAAGTACTTATTGCCATCCATCTCAGGGAACTCAATTTCGACTCAATTTCTACCAGACTCCAAAGAACGGGTTAGGTGCTCTTTAGCCCCTTTCGGGTTCACAAAACGTTAGGGATACTCTTGCTCATCAGCGTTCACCTTGAACGACGATGAGACGGCGGAGAGGATGTGAGTTGCATCAACCGCGGAAGGCAACTTCCAAGCCTGTCACCCAATGTGTTTTGTAAACTGCCTTTGTGAATTCAGCTGGACTGGCATAATTCATTGTAATTTACCAATCAGTAATCTGTGGAACTGTTCTAGTTCATACGACTTTCTTCAAAAATACACTTTTACAACACATCTACTGACGTTATAAATTTAACCGCTATGTCCAACAAGTGTTTTTGTCCGTTCTGCAGAATATCTTCAAACTTCTGTGTTTAGTGTATTGTTTTGTGGCTTAGAGCACACTTTGTCAAAGTTAACGCAGGATTTTTTATGAACTAAATGAGACCGACGAAGAAACCCTGGTTCTATAAGTGACATTTCTAATTGAGTCTGGTGAGTGTATCGGAATTTCGAAACAGTCTCCCGTCTAATTTGCATTCACCTTTTACAGCGACTGTCATTCTAACGTGACTTTATGGATGTGTGCAGAACGTAGGAATAGGAGTGCCCACTGCTGTTCTGAGGAATCCTTTTCTCGCTGATCTCTATCCGTCTAATAAGACGGAAGTCACCCGATTTTCAAGTAATTTTAAGGGTGAGGTGGTTCGTGTGTACACTATTCATGTTCGGAGGTAATTCACTACTCTTCCAGATATTTTGAACTTTTCAACTGTCAGCATACGTTTTCTTGATGGGGCATACTAGTCGAAAATCCTCCTACACCTCAGGGCCGTTCTGCACTTCTTGTGGTTATTGGTTGCCCGCAATCACGAGATTCCCTTGGCCGTATATTCTGCTTAAAGTCACAAGTAGCTGACGGATTTAACACATTTGCAAAATAATTTGGCGTTGACGGAAGACTCAGCTAAATTCCAGCTGAGCCATACATTCATCTAGGATTCAGTGGAGTTTTCGATTGACACCAGCTTAATTGCGAATGAATGTATTCTTCAGCCTTCAAGAGTAAGTACTGAGTGTTGTTATAATTACGATTTAACTGCTAATGGTAGTAGTTGCAACCATTTTTGGTCCAGTATAGGGGTGAGATGGCTCCGTGGTTGGAGAGCGAAGTTACTGACCAGAAGGTCCATCGTTCGAACCTAACCTCTGNAGTCTGTGCTCTGGCATGAGCCGCCGCAAAATCATAAATGAACTTTTCAACCCGGAATTGTATTCTCAAGCCATCTAGCCTTGTATGACTGCAGTTTGGTTGTCTTTTTTGTCCAATTTACTGTTAACTCTCATTAGTTGTGAGATGACTGAGCTACAGAGGTTGCTGCCGGATGTTGCCCATTCCGGTCTTTTTGTTATCAGACTATGTAACTGGTTCCGTATCCGTGATTTTTTAAATGTCACCTCTGCATCAATTCACGGCCTTATTCCGTTCGTTGATCTGCTCCAATAAGTAGCGCAAGTTCTCACTGCCATCCATTAACAAGTCTCGTAGGACTCGATTTAGACTCAGTTTCTACCCGACTTCAAAGAACGGGTTACGTACACCTTGATGCCTTTCGGATTCATGGTAAGCTAGGGAAGAGTGCAAGCGATGGGCATACTCTTGCTCATCTGCGTTCACCTTGAACGACGGTGAGACAGCAGAAATGGTCTGAGTTGCATTAACCGCGGAAGGTAACTGCCAAGCCTGTCACCCGATGTGTTTTGTAAACTGCCTTTGTGAATTCAGCTGGACTGGCATAATTCACTGTAATTTACTAATTGATAATCTGTGAAACTGTTCTAGTTTATACGACTTTCTTCAAAAAAGCACTTTTACAACACATCTACTGACTTTATAAATTCAACCGAGATGTTCAACAAATATTTTTGCCCGTTCTACAGAACATCTTCAAACTTCTGTGTTTAGTGTATTGTTTTGAGACTTAGAGCACGATTTGTCA